TGGCTCTCACAGACCTGTAACTTCTTCTTTAAGAGGCTCCTATGTCCTCCACTCGTTACCTGTATTAATGGCACCTGTTTGAACTTGTTATCAGTATAAAAGACACCTGTCCACAACCTCAAACAGTCACACTCCAAACTCCACTATGGTCAAGACCAAAGAGCTGTCAAAGGACACCAGAAACAAAATTGTAGACCTGCACCAGGCTGGGAAGACTGAATCTGCAATAGGTAAGCAGCTTGGTTTGAAGAAATCAACTGTGGGAGCAATTATTAGGAAATGGAAGACATACAAGACCACTGATAATCTCCCTCGATCTGGGGCTCCACGCAAGATCTCACCCCGTGGGGTCAAAATGATCACAAGAACGGTGAGCAAAAATCCCAGAACCACACGGGGGGACATAGTGAATGACCTGCAGAGAGCTGGGACCAAAGTAACAAAGCCTACCATCAGTAACACACTACTCCGCCAGGGACTCAAATCCTGCATTGCCAGACGTGTCCCCCTGCTTAAGCCAGTACATGTCCAGGCCCGTCTGAAGTTTGCTAGAGTGCATTTGGATGATCCAGAAGAGGATTGGGAGAATGTCATATGGTCAGATGAAACCAAAATATAACTTTTTGGTAAAAACTCAACTCATCGTGTTTGGAGGACAAAGAATGCTGAGTTGCATCCAAAGAACACCATACCTACTGTGAAGCATGGGGGTGGAAACTTCATGCTTTGGGGCTGTTTTTCTGCAAAGGGACCAGGACGACTGATCCGTGTAAAGGAAAGAATGAATGGGGCCATGTATCGTGAGATTTTGAGTGAAAACCTCCTTCCATCAGCAAGGGCATTGAAGATGAAACGTGGCTGGGTCTTTTAGCATGACAATGATCCCAAACAAACCTCCCGGGCAACGAAGGAGTGGCTTCGTAAGAAGCATTTCAAGGTCCTGGAGTGGCCTAGCCAGTCTCCAGATCTCAACCCCATAGAAAATCTTTGGAGGGAGTTGAAAGTCCGTGTTGCCCAGTGACAGCCCCAAAACATCACTGCTCTAGAGGAGATCTGCATGGAGGAATGGGCCAAAATACCAGCAACAGTGTGTGAAAACCTTGTGAAGACTTACAGAAAACGTTTGACCTGTGTCATTGCCAACAAGGGGTATATAACAAAGTATTGAGAAACTTTTGTTATTGACCAAATACTTATTTTCCACCATAATTTGCAAATAAATTCATAGAAAATCCTACAATGTGATTTTCTGGAAAAAAAAATTCTAATTTTGTCTGTCATAGTTGACATGTACCTATGATGAAAATTACAGGCCTCTCTCATCTTTTTAAGTGGGAGAACTTGCACAATTGGTGGCTGACTAAATACTTTTTTTCCCCACTGTATATCCATCCGAAATTGTCAATGATCCGACCTGGAAGGCCTCCCAAACAGGCATTGCTCTAAACCTGTCATGAATCCCGCTTCCTGAGCCTGTTTCTGCCTGTGTTGCCTGTTTTCTGTTCTGAAGTCTGTTTCCTGAGGTTCCTGAACACACCCTGTCTGGTTGCCAGGCGACGAAGCTAGGCGGGAGATCTCTCTATTACCCGCACCTGCATCTCATCAGCTATCTGCACACCTGGTCCTGATCATCACCTCTCCACTTCATAAGCTCTGACCTGACATCCATTCCCTGCCGGATCGTTAGCCATGAACAGTATGTTGTGTCAGTGTATCAGCCTCAAAGTTGCTAGAGTTAGTTTTGTTGTTTTGTACTTTTTGCTTCCCGTGTACTTACCTTTGTTTACTCTGTCTACAGTCATTCTCCCGGGACATTCACCCCACCACTGCCTGGTCGTCGGTGGCTTCTGTGACATCATCGGATCTGCCTATTCACTCCCACCAACTCACCTCCGCTGCCCGCTCCATCTCCTGGATTATTCTGCTTCCACATTTGAATCTGTAAATAAATACTCACCTTCATTCTACTCACCTTGTCCTGGTCTGCTTCTGGGTTCTGCTTTAGAGAATCATGACAAAACCCAGTCGGAATGAAAGTGAAATTAACGTTAAATGAGAGCTCTGACCGCCCTCCATTGGTCAGCTCAGCGTATTACATGTTTGGTAGCCCTTGCTGAGACCGTTTAATACGGTTTCACCCGTTATGGTATAGTATGGATTCGAGTCCATGAGCAGACCCTAACACACAATGACAAGGCACTCTAACCTGTATGAGGGATTGGCGTATATTCCCGGATAAACTTCTCTGCGTCCAAAACCGAGGAGAGCCAAATCTTCTCCCCGGAAGGCGGGGTAATTCTTAGTCTTGCAGGGAAGAGCAAGGCTGGGCGAAGATGGAGTTTGTAGAGTTTGGTCATGACATCTCTGTAGCCAGCGCGGTGCTTTGCCACATCGGGCGCATAATCCTCATAGACATGAAAGGGGTGCCCTTTATGTAACAGGTTGCCCCTCATTCGAGCCTCGCACAGGATAAGATCCTTGGTCTTGAAACTGTGACAACAGATGATTACTGGGCGAGGACGCTGGCCCGGTCCAGGCACTGGGACAAGGGCGCAATGTGCACGGTCCAGTAGGGGATCCGACGCCAAAACATCCGGTCCCATTGCATCCTTCAGTAGCTTGGCGAAGAAGTCGGTGGGGCGAAAGCCCGTCTCCACCCCTTCTGCCAGACCCACAACGCAAAGGTTATGACGCCTGGATCTGCCCTCCAGGTCGACTACTTTCACAGAAAGCCTCTGCACACTATCCTGCAATGATGTCATAGCTTCTCTAACTCGTCGATCCTACCAGCGTTGAATTCAGAAGCTTTCTCAAGGTCCACAATACTCTGGCCCTGCGAAGCGACCGTTCGAATGGTGCTCTCGATTTTAGTGTCCAGTTCAGCAATAGTAGCCTTAAGATCCTCCGCTATAGCAACACGTAGTTCTCCCAAAGCCCGGGTAAGTTCTGTAAGTGTCACGTTGTTACCTGTGCCTTCCGCCATGTCTGTCTCATTGTTTGGTGGGGAGTAGGCCTCCGATGTGGATTTATTGTCCTTTGGTCGCTTATTACTCTGCATTTTCACATAGAAAGTTACAATATTGTATTAGAAAGAAACGTTTGTTGTAACAAGTGCCATAAAGTAAGTTAGGTTAGATTATTTCGCAAAAAAGTTGCAGGAGCCTCTCACACACAGCCGTTCACTCCAACATGCTAGCTCCGCCCCCGTTTTACAGGCTCCTAACCAATTGTGCTATTTTGTGTGTTTTTTCGCATTGCTTGTAACTTATTTTCTACATAATGTTGATGCTACCGTCCCTTATGACCAAAAAGAGCTTCTGGATATAAGAACAGCGATTACTCACCTCAAACTGGACGAAGATTTTTTCTTTAATGAGTCCGACGCGAAGGATATAATGTTGCTCCCAGACAAGGCCCAAATCCCCATCATTCACATGAAGAAAATAAGGAAATACAGGGGGCGGAGATCAGGCTGCCTTGTGAGAATTCATCAGCGAGTGGGTAACCAGCCACTACCATCCGTTCTATTGTCCAACGTGCAATCACTGGAGAATAAACTGGATGAGCTCCGTTCGAGACTATCCTACCAACGGGACATTAAAAACTGTAATATCTTATGTTTCACCGAGTCGTGGCTGAACGACAACACGGATAATATACAGTTGGCTGGGTTTTCCATGCATCGGCAGGACAGAACAGCTATGTCCGGTAAGACGAGGGGTGGGGGTGTGTGTCTATTTGTCAATAACAGCTGGTGCGCGATGTCTAATTTAAAGGTAGTCTCGAGGTATTGCTCGCCTGAGGTAGAGTATCTCATGATAAGTTGTAAACCACACTATCTACCAAGAGAGTTTTCATCTATATTTATCGTAGCCGTCTATTTACCACCACAAACTGACGCTGGCACTAAGACCGCACTCAACGAGCTGTATAAGGCCATAAGCAAACAAGAAAAGGCTAATCCAGAAGTGGCGCTCCTAGTGGCCGAGGACTTTAATGCAGGCAAACTTAAATCCATTTTACCATATTCTACCAGCATATCACATGTGCTACCAGAAGAAAAAAAACTCTAGACCACCTTTACTCCACACACAGAGACCTTTACTCCCAACCAGAAGCCATGGATTACAGGCAACATCCGCATCGAGCTAAAGGCTAGAGCTGCCGCTTTCAAAGAGCAGGACACTAATCCGGACGCTTATACGAAATCCCGCTATGCCCTCGGACGAACCATCAAACAGGCAAAGCGTGAATACAGGACTAAGATTGAATCCTACCTCACCGGCTCTGACGCTCGTCGGATGTGGCAGGGCTTACAAACTATTACGGACGACAAAGGGAAAACCAGCCGCGAGCTGCCCCGTGACGCGAGCCTACCAGATGGGCTAAATGCCTTTTATGCTCGCTTCGAGGCAAGCAACACTGAAGCATGCATGAGAGCACCAGCTGTTCCGGACGACTGTGTGATCACGCTCTCCGTAGCCGATGTGAGCAAGACCTTTAGTCCTCAATAATTGTTCCCTTGCTGTAATTAATGAAGAACAAAAAAACAGTCTGACACAAATAATTGCAATTTCAAAAGCTTTATTGAAAATGCATATTTCAAACATTTTTTGTAGTTTTTTTATTTTAAAGAATAGTGCATGTCTCAAAATATTAGAACGAGACCAATATGTGTATTTTTCTAAACATAGTTCCTGTGTCTGAAATTAAGTTTCTGTGTGTATTGGAGGAGTAAGCAATACTCAAAATATCTGTGTGTGTGTGTTGTAGTAGTAGATGGCCATTATTTATTCAAACATCTCAGTTTGGGCAGCAGCCACTGGAGAAACCTGTCAATCAAACAGGAGAATTAATAGTAGTTTTCACTTACACATCAGATAGCTGCTCTTTCTCTGCTACCTCATTCTATTTCTATAATTCTCTACCTCATTCTATTTCTATAAATCTCAAAAATGCCCTTGTTATGTTCTACTTCTCCTTCTTCTATTTCCTCACCTCTTCCTCAGACTCTTCTTTTCCTCTTTCTTGTCCTCCTTACTTTCTCCAACATTTTCCACCTGCTTCATGTTACTAGCCTGCTCTTGCTTCACTCGCTTTTTTGCCTTGCCCTTTTTCCTTTTGACCTTCCCTTCCTGAATATTTTGGACAAGGAGATAAAGTAATATAAGCTTATGGCTATTTTCTACTCTTGAGCTACAATATCTAGAGTTATGATATACTGTAGGACATATGGCCAATATCCCCTTCCTGTTTCCTCTCACCTGTGGGTACACTCCTGCCATTTTCTGCGCCATTTCCTGGAGCAGCTTCCTGCTGTTCTCACTCAGGTTGGTGATGGGGGCCAGGCGAGGGCTTCCTGTATTGGTGATGGGGGCCAGGCAAGGGCTTTCTGTATTTCCTCTCACCTGTGGGGCCACTCCTGACATTTCCTGGAGCAGCTTCCTGCTGTTCTCACTCAGGTTGGTGATGGGGGCCAGGCGAGGGCTTCCTGTATTGGTGATGGGGGCCAGGCAAGGGCTTTCTGTATTTCCTCTCACCTGTGGGGCCACTCCTGACATTTTCTGGAGCAGCTTCCTACCGTTCTCGCTCAGGTTGGTGATTGGGGCCAGGCGAGGGCTGTGGTGGTATGGTAAGTACTCCACAGCAGGCGGAGCAACAATGACAGGGATGTTGGGTTTGGCCACAATAATCTGTACAGACATAGGGTCAAACAATTGAGATGTGACACACACTAGTGATGCGCGGGTTGACTCATAACCAGAAGTCCCGCGGTTATATCCACAGGGCGGCGGATTTAGGGTCATGAAATATTGTTGAATAAACAGAAAACAATACATAAAAAAATCCATAAATGTATAATTATTGTGCAAGTTATATCTATAGGCTATTTGGCATTAGTGCGTAAGCCTAAACTTTAGGGCATAACTTGACGCGCGCCAGATAGACTACACACCAATCACCAAACGCTTTAATTCAATAAGAGAAAAGCTACGAAATGGAAAGTTGAAAATAAAGAAGGGACGGCCAGAAAAGTAATGTTTGGAAAATATTTGGTGAAGTGTTAAAAGAGGATGATGGCAGTGCCTATGTTATGTGTGATGATTGTGAGGCACTATAGAAATTCGACAGTCACAAGAGGGGGATTCAAATAGGCCTATGGCACGTCAAGGGAACAAACAGCCTACTGTTCAGATGGGTTAAATGGAAACTGAAATCTGGACACTGACTGTAGATCTTTAACCTCTCACAGTCTTAATATTAACTCCTGCAGAATTAAGCATTTCTTGCAGTAAAATGATAGGCTACACCAAATGTAGGCTTTATTTTGACTCGGGAACAGCAGTGGAGAAATATGATTTCTTTCAGCATCTTGAGGGAATGCGAATGCGCAGCTAGGGACTGCTTTATCAGCATAATAAAAGCTGATAATATTTCAACCACATAAAATGTGCATCCAAGCCAAACTGAAATCTTATCAGAAACATGTCTGGTCGTTTTCAACCCGTCAAACTGATGTCATTTGGAAATTTTGCACAGAAAATGTTTCCCTTTTTTTCTTGAGTTATTGCATTTTCTTCTTGATCCCTAAACGTTTTTGGTTTATTTCGTCTTCTATCTAATTATAGACAAGTTGACTAACAAATAGCCTACCAAAATGTTTGAAATTATAAGCAGAAACATATCCAAATTAGGCACAAAGAAATCCTGCACCCCCTGCTAAGAAATCGTTCTGACGGTGTTCTATATTTGCGGATTAGGGTCAGGTGCGGGCCTCAGATTTTCACTTTATCACATATAGTCGGGCGGTTGCGGATGGGTTATTAGCAATTGCGGGTGGGTTCGGTTGAACAAACAGCTGACCCGCGCACCACTAACACACACACACGTAAGAGCCTACCAGTCGAGGGTCCTTCAGTGAAGCCCCTTTTCTCAGTGGTTCCTTTGAAGGCCCTGGACTGTCCTCAGCAGAGGCATCATTGCCATTATCACGCTGTGTGTCAGAGAGCTAGTTGGTCATAGTCCATTCTCCACATTCAGTCAAAGAGTTACTCAAATACATGCTGCAGAACATACCAGAAAGTCTGACTCATCGAAGGATTGGAGAGAAAGATTGTCGTCCACCTTTCCATCCTCCTCATCCTTCACTTTCAGCGGTGGTGTCCTCCTTTCATGATCCTCATCATCAGACTGTGTATCAGAGTAAACTAGTCAGAGACTATTCTCCTTACAGTGATGTCACTCAACAAAGACATGGTGTACAACTGTCTTACCTCAGATTCACAGTCAGTGAAGGAGTAGATAGAGATGTCAGAGTTGGAGGATGAGATCACCCCATCATAATTTCTATCCATCAGCCGAGTCACCCTTCCAGACTGAGGAGACAGACAAAGGCATGTACTTAGGGCAGACATAGAATACACTGGCATTGACTGTCAAGAAAATGTTGAATATTTAGGCAATCCAACATAGTTGTACAAGTAGTGAGTAATTTATGGGTAATTGAAAATGCAAGTGTATTGAAATGCAATAAATGCAACTCCCATAACATTAGGGATGGGGCTAAATACTTTCCATACTGTAGGATTCTTTAGCATTTCTAATGAATGATTGTCAATTCAACCAAGCCAACCAAAATGGCCATATGAATCAACAGATTGATCTATCTGTTCTGTCTCTATGGGAACAGCAGAGATGTCTGACCTGGCTAAGAGGCTCTGGATTGATGTCCCATCCATCCCCAGATGTCTGTTCCTGCCCACAGCTCACAATGATTGGCTGTGAACAGTAAAGAAAAAATGTAACACTCTTTTGCTCATTTTGGCCTTGGAAATAACTTGGAAATAAATGATGTAGCTATCAATAAATAATTTAAGTAGCTACTGTTATGTGGTTGATTTGAATGTGACATACAGGCCTTTTGTGGATCTGAGGGGTCTGCACTGAAGTAGACTGTCAAGACAATATTCCATTTCAAATGTGGTTAGATAAGGAGGGATATCTGCACTTGCTTTTACTGTGATAACTGCAGTTTGTACATGCAGCATAACTAATGTTTATGTGTTATTGTTTTCAGGTCAGATTTGACTTACAGGCCTTGGCCTTCTGAGCACTTTGCCGGTTGGCCACATCACAGAATCAGGGGTGTTCACCCTCACTGGATTCAACTGTCAACACAACACTCCATTTAAAAGGTGATAACAAAAACAGAAGATTTTTAAAATATATATATATATTTGATATTTACCACATAAGGGCGGCGCCTTAAAGCTCTTTTGATTCTCTCATCATTATGATTCATCTTGCTTTCTGAGGGATACATTTCCATCAATTGATTGGCACAAAACATATCCTGGCACACACACGCATAAAGGGCCATGTCCCAAATGGCACCCCAGTGCCCATATATTGCACTTATTTTGACCTGAGCCCAATGGGCACAGGTCAAAAGTAGTACACTACAGGGTGCCATTTGGGACCAAAGAATGTAAGAGCCTACCAGACGTTCTAAACTCCAAGGACGGGTCTATCCAACCGTTTCCAATCGTAGTATTTATTCTCTGCACAGTGTCAGCTAGGGCAGACTATGCACCTGAAACAACCTTACTGAAGAAAGCGATTGTACTGATGATATCAAAGCTGAACACAGTTTATGTAGTGAATTTATGCTTGGTTACGTCACAATAGGTCACAGTTTTATGGGCGCGCATAATACGTCACAGGAAAGGCTTGTATGGGACTGGACTGGTGGTATCTCCCCCTGGTCGTAATTTATAACTGTCAAATAAAATCTATCTAGCTATCTAACTCAAATGGCTGGTGAGGACTCTTTGATCATCACATTTGAGGCACATGTCAGCAGGTGGCAGTGTCTTCAAATGCAGCACTTGATGATCTGAGCAACAGTTGAGCAACTTTGTGGTTGTGACGAATCCAAATGTGTGTTGTCCAGTACATTTGTTTTTGCTTAGCAAGCTTGCCCGCCTATTTCTACAATTCATCTTCTTAAACTCGGATTTTAAACTTAACCACACTGCTAACCTTATGCCCAACCTTAAATTAAGACCAAAAAGCCTATTTTTGTTTTCATGAATTTTTACGATATAGCCTATTTGTACTTTGTGGCTGTGTTATCTAGTGGGAACCTCTAGCTAGCTAGCTAGCTACCTACAATCTGGCTAAAGTGTTGCGCAATATTGGAGGAAAAGTTGATTGATTATTGTGCTTGATTATCCAAGTACTAGTTTGACAAATATGCATTGGTCATCAAAATGATATCCCGAATAATTTTAAAACATATGGTTCAGAGGTTCAAGAGTTTTACTCCTGAGTTCAGGCTCACGAGTGGGATTGTTGCTGTCATTATAGTATCATTTGTTTTGTTTACTGTCACTACATATTTCGGTTTATCAGAGGATGTCTTCAGTCTTGGAACGACAGTTTTTGGCAATGGGCATGGTAAGTTAGCTAGGAGGGTCTGAGTGAATCAACAGTTATATATGCTCAGTAGCTACTTTGTATGAGAGTGTTGTAACGTTAGCTAGCTTGCTAGAATGGTGGTCCTCTGTAGCTCAGCTGGTAGAGCACGGCGCTTGTAACGCCAGGGTAGTGGGTTCGATCCCCGGGACCACCCATACACAAAAATGTATGCACACATGACTGTAAGTTGCTTTGGATAAAAGTGTCTGCTAAAATGGCATATTATTATTATTATTATTATTATTATTATTATTATTATATTAAACAGGTCAACATTCACAAGGCTGCGGGGCCAGACGGATTACCGGGACATGTGTTCAGAGCATGCGCGGATCAACTGGCAAGTGTCTTCACTGACATTTTCAACCTCTCCCTGACCGAGTCTGTAATACCTGCTTGAAATACCTGTTTCAAGCAGACCACCATAGTCCCTGTGCCCAAAAAAGCGAAGGAAACCTGCCTAAATGACTACCGCTCCGTAGCACTCACGCCGGTAGCCATGAAGTGCTTTGAAAGGCTGGTCATGGCTCACATCAACACCCTCATCCCAGAAACCCTAGACCCACTCCAATTCGCATACCGCCCCAACAGATCCACAGATGACGCAGTCTCAATCGCACTCCACACTGCCCTTTCCCACTTGGACAAAAGGAACACCTATGTGAGAATGCGGTTCATTGACTACAGCTCAGCGTTCAACACCATAGTGCCCACAAAGCTCATCACTAAGCTAAGGACCCTGGGATTAATCACCTCCCTCTGCAACTGGATCCTAGACTTCCTAACGGGCCGCCCCCAGGTGGTAAGGGTAGGCAACAACACATCAGCCACGCTGATCCTCAACAAGGGGCCCCTCAGGGGTGCGTGCTTAGTCCCCTCCTGTACTCCCTGTTCACCCACGACTGCGTGGCCATGCACGACTCCAACAGCATCAAGTTTCCTGACGACACAACGGTGGTAGTCCTGATCACCGACAACGATGAGACAGCCTATAGGGAGGAGGTCAGAGACCTGGCAGTGTGGTGCCAGGACAACAACCTCTCCCTCAACATGAGCAAGACAAAGGAGATGATCGTGGACTACAGGAAAAGGAGGGCCGAACACGCCCCCATTCACATCGACGTGGCTATAATGAAAGTCGTCAAGAGTGCACGACAACACCTTTTCCCCTTCAGGAGACTGAAAATATTTGGCATGTGTCCCCAGATCCTCAAAAAGTTATACAGCTGCACCATCGAGAGCATCCTGATCGGTTGCATCACCGCCTGGTATGGCAACTGCTCGGCATCCGACCATAAGGCGCTACAGAGGGTAGTGCGTACAGCCCAGTACATCACTGGGGCAATGCCCCCCCCCCACCTTTGTTTTTACACTGCTGCTACTCACTGTTTATTATCTATGCATAGTCACTTTACCCCTACCTACATGTACAAATTACCTCGACTAACCTGTATGCCCGCACCTTGACTCGGTACTACACACATTACCCCATAATGACAAAGTGAAAACAGGTTTTTAGACATACAGTGGGGAGAACAAGTATTTGATACACTGCCGATTTTGCAGGTTTTCCTACTTACAAAGCATGTAGAGGTCTGTAATTTTTATCATAGGTACGCTTCAACTGTGAGAGACGGAATCTAAAACAAAAATCCAGAAAATCACATTGTATGATTTTTAAGTAATTAATTTGCATTTTATTGCATGACATAAGTATTTGATACATCAGAAAAGCAGAACGTAATATTTGGTACAGAAACCTTTGTTTGCAATTACAGAGATCATATGTTTCCTGTAGGTCTTGACCAGGTTTGCACACACTGCAGCAGGGATTTTGGCCCACTCCTCCATACAGACCTTCTACAGATCCTTCAGGTTTCGGGGCTGTCGCTGGGCAATACGGACTTTCAGCTCCCTCCAAAGATTTTCTATTGGGTTCAGGTCTGGAGACTGGCTAGGCCAATCCAGGACCTTGAGATGCTTCTTACGGAGCCACTCCTTAGTTGCCCTGGCTGTGTGTTTCAGGTCGTTGTCATGCTGGAAGACCCAGCCACGACCCATCTTCAATGCTCTTACTGAGGGAAGGAGGTTGTTGGCCAAGATCTCGCGATACATGGCCCAATCCATCCTCCCCTCAATACGGTGCAGTCGTCCTGTCCCCTTTACAGAAAAGCATCCCCAAAGAATGATGTTTCCACCTCCATGCTTCACGGTTGGGATGGTGTTCTTGGGGTTGTACTCATCCTTCTTCTTCCTCCAAACACGGCGAGTGGAGTTTAGACCAAAAAGCTCTATTTTTGTCTCATCAGACCACATGACCTTCTCCCATTCCTCCTCTGGATCATCCAGACGGTCATTGGCAAACTTCAGACGGGCCTGGACATGCGCTGGCTTGAGCAGGGGGACCTTGCGTGCGCTGCAGGATTTTAATCCATGACGGCGTAGTGTGTTACTAATGGTTTTCTTTGAGACTGTGGTCCCAGCTCTCTTCAGGTCATTGACCAGGACCTGCCGTGTAGTTCTGGGCTGATCCCTCACCTTCCTCATGATCATTGATGCCCCACGAGGTGAGATCTTGCATGGAGCCCCAGACCGAGGGTGATTGACCGTCATCTTGAACTTCTTCCATTTTCTAATAATTGCGCCAACAGTTGTTGCCTTCTCACCAAGCTGCTTGCCTATTGTCCTGTAGCCCATCCCAGCCTTGTGCAGGTCTACAATTTTATCCCTAATGTCCTTACACAGCTCTCTGGTCTTGGCCATTGTGGATAGGTTGGAGTCTGTTTGATTGAGTGTGTGGACAGGTGTCTTTTATACAGGTAACGGCAAACAGGTGCAGTTAATACAGGTAATGAGTGGAGAACAGGAGGGCTTCTTAAAGAAAAACTAACAGGTCTGTGAGAGCCGGAATTCTTACTGGTTGGTAGGTGATCAAATACTTATGTCATGCAATAAAATGTACAGAGAGATCCTTGATGAAAACCTTTTCCAGAGTGCTCAGGACCTCAGACTGGGGCGAAGGTTCACCTTCAAAGAGGACAACGACCCTAAGCACACAGCCAAGACAACGCAGGAGTGGTTTCGGGACAAGTCTCTTAATGTTCTTGAGTGGCCCAGCCAGAGCCCGGATTTGAACCCGATCAAACATCTCTGGAGAGACCTGAAAATAGCTGTGCAGCAACGCTCCCCATCCAACCTGACAGAGCTTGAGAGGATCTGCAGAGAACAATGGGAGAAACTCTCCAAATACAGGTGTGCCAAGCTTGTAGCGTCATACCCAAGAAGACTCGAGGCTGTAATCGCTGCCAAAGGTGCTTGAACAAAGTACTGAGTAAAGGGTCTGAATCCTTCTGTAAATGTGATATTTACTTTATTTATTTTTAGTAAATTAGGCAAACATTTTTGCTTTGTCATAATGGGGTATTGTGTGTAGATTGTTGAGGAAACAAAACCATTTAGAATAAGGCTTTAATGTAACAAAATGTGGAAAAAGTAAAGTAGTCTGAATACTTTCCGAATAGCCTCATTATTGTTATTTTATTGTTACTTTTGTTAGTTTTTTTACTTTAGTTTATTTAGTAAATATTTTGTAAATCCTATTTTCTTAAAACTGCATTGTTGGTTAAGGGCTTGTACGTAAGCATTTCACGGTAAGGTCTACACCTGTTGTATTCAGCGCATGTGACAAATAAAAATGTATTTGATTTGTTAGGAGTGTACTGATAAGTAGGACACGTGACATCCCGGCAAATTTGAGAAAAAACACTTTATATCGGAGTTGTCTCGAGATGGCTATGCATATTCTTGACATGAGGCTAGCATAGCATCTCTCTATTGAATACAGGCAGTTGACGTTAACAACCCTCATTGAATATTTAAACAAGGATTACAATAATGAGATGTATCCACCAATCCAAAGAAAGTATAGGCGGTAGCTAGACAGCCCGCTGTGCCGCTTTGTGGACAACGAATCCCATTGTTAGGGTTGAGAGACCTGAATCTTGTCAGTATAGTCATAATATTTGCCTAGCCTTGGCCAAGTCCCCAACAACCGGATGTTCCGGTTTTTAGGAGGAATGGAAAAAGAGCGACTTCCACCACTTATTATTTTTTTTGTTAGTTAAAAAAACACGACCCTACCAAGCCACACTGCTTCTTGACACACTGCTCGCTTAACCCAAAAGCACCAATGTGTGTCGGAGGAAACACCATCCAGCTGGTGACCAAAGTCAGCTTGCAGGCGCCCGTCCCGCCACAAGGAGTCGCTAGAGCGCGATGGGACAAGGATATCCCGGCCGGCCAAACCCTCCCCTAACCCAGACAACGCTGTGCCAATTGTACGCCGCCTCATGGGTCTCCCGGTCACGGCCAGCTGTGACACAGCCTGGGATCGATCCCGGGTCTGTAGTGACGCCTTAAGCACTGCGATGCAGTGCCTTAGACTGCTGCGCCACTCCGGAGGCCCCCACGACTTCCACTTTTGGATAGTAACAGTGAGGGGATCCATTAATCGGGCCCCGGCGAGCTTTTTGCACCTGGTGAAAGTTGATTGCATTCGTTTTGGAACCGGGCTGCCTCCCTTGCGTGAGCCAGGTGCCCGTTCAAAGCCCACAGCGAAGTCGGCTCAAAACAAAAGTGACTTAATTAGCACTTGGAGTGGGTCATTCCACCAAACCGGTACATATACACTTTTACATTTTTTACCCAAATAAATCATTTTTCTAAATACCCCATGACATGAAGGACATATTTAACCTCCATTTCCCATCTCTGGCATCAAAGACCGATTATTATCAGCCATTTTCTTCTGATATGGACACCATTTGTATTCAACCCTGTTATGGACAATATGGAAGTCTGAATATGATTATAAAAGATACTTGTAATAAAATCAACATTTACCTATTAATCATATGTCCCTCATACTAATTAATAATTGCAAATATAATCACACTTTTGCTATATTAAAGCCTGAAATGGACACTTTGTGTATCAGAATTTGAACTAAAATCAATATTCTCATGATTGCTCTAAACATTTCAGACTGAGCTCAACAAACATTTCAATTCATATTTCATAAACTTTCCAAAATTGTATCACAGAAATTGTAATGTAACAGGGTTGAGACTAGGCTAACGGGGTTGAAGATGGTAACGGGGTTGAAGAGACAAATACGGCTTCCATATAAATTGGTTTTGTTTATTCTCAAATTCACTTAAAGATTTTCTATAAACATTGTATTTCATAGATATAACCATGTAATGAGGACAATTTACATCAATTTTAATTAAACTGAGCTGTATTAACCTGCAGTAAAAAACAAAAACATAGCAGACATTAATAACATTGAACAGGTCATCAGGTCATCTTACTGAACAGGTCATCAGAATCAGGGTTACCCCTTCTGTCTGTGACCAAACAGTGTATGTGAAAGTGAGTAGATTACGTTGAAAGCAAAGGTCAGCCCTAACAATGGGAGTTGTTGTCCACAAAGCGGCACGGCAGGCTGTCTAGCTCCCACCTATCCTTTCTTTGGATTGGTGGATACATGTTATTATTCCAAAAAAAATGTAGTATTCAATGTTGACATCAACCTCCTGTATTCAATGGAGAGATAAGCTATGCTACTACCCTCATACCATGAATATGCATTGCCATCTCGAGACATCTCCGATATAAAGTGTTTTTTCTCAAAGTTGCCGGGATGTCACGGTCCTACTTATATCAGTACACTCTTAAAAACTTAAGCATTGCGGAACTTCTATTAGATCAAATAAACCTCACTTAGCAAATAAGCCATTCGTTTTTTTGTTGACCAAATTCGACACTCATTGACCTTCCATACAAAAACTCCTTGCTTGGTGGGCGAAACAACAAAAAACGCCACCTGCTGGAGGGAGACAGATTTTCCGCCGAGTTGGGCCTCTCTCTTCCTTTTCCTCTCTGTTATACCTCAGCGTCTCCTGCGCATTTACTGGATTGGTTGAACAGTGCAGAAGAGAACCTCCCCCGACAGCTTTTTTTCTTCTCGTCAAGACCAGTGGTGGAGTTCGTTTTGCATGGAAGTTTCACTTAAGGACCAATGGAATAGTCTAAAATGTAAATTTCTGACCTACTACCTCATATCTTGCTTGTTACATTTTTACATGAATGTGGCTGGTGGAAGGTACACACCCTGACCTTGCCATTTCCTGTCTTAATTGAATAAAATAAAACTTCATTTATCCATTTGCACTGATTTTTTTTGTTTTTGTTGCACAGTCACAGTACCAACCTGACATACTGGTACACAGACACGACATGCTGGGTGCAGTCGCAGGGTCAGCCGCAGAGCACCTGGAACAGATTTGGGGGTTAAGTGCCTTGCTCAGGGGAACAACGGCAGTTTGCACATGGGATATTCATGCCAGCAACCCTCCCGCTGCTAACTCACTTCCTTCAGGTTTACCGGCCGTCTCTCTATTGAATAATGTAACATTGCGTATGTGAGTGTTCTACCTGCCTCCGTCCAAGGCCCTGGCTTTTGTGGCGCATGGAGTATAGTACTCACCTCTGCACTGCAGGATCATAGGATCAGGACCCTGATAAAGTTATTTATCTCGCTCTCGCTCCTGCTACATAACATAAATACTTGTTCATAATATTCCATTGCAGTTTGATAAAAAGGTTCGGTTTTTGTTTTGGTGTTAATTGCCATATTTTGACCCATGGGTCAAAATGTATATACAGTCCATGGTCAAAAGTCTATTATTTGACAAATGTATTTTATCCACATCATGGAAGTGCTGCATTCCTTCATTAAAAATAGAATGCATCCTAGAAGTCCTCAGACAACCCTCAGAAAGTTTTGTCATGTTGAGTTTCTTTCAAGATGACATTCAAAAAAAGTTGGATGTTGCTTGATTCCCAATATACTAAATCGATATGATGGATCTGACAACGTAATGATGAACACTTGATAAATAAGTTAATAAGGTACTGTATATCAGGTCTCATTCAAGACGTATCAGTCCTGATGAAACACATGCTCAAGGGTCTGTAGCCCTATGGGATTAATGATGCCAAACATTGTACATAAATTGCAACAAAGATTTTATAGTAGGTTTCCATTCCATCCTCTCTGGTTGCAACCAGTAGCTGATCATCTTCACACTAAAAATCTCCAATCGATGCATCACGAAAGTGAAAGCCAATGAGGACCACTTTGGGCACGACGTCATAAAGCATGATTGATATTCCATTAGCCCAATCATAACCGGACATTTTCATATCTTAACCAATCAAACTGCATACGGTACAGGAAGTAGGCTGTCCCCGATAGTTAAGATAGGTAGCTTTTGCAAACGTTCTGTTTCGACCGGCCACAGAGGTAGAGGACGTTGGAGTCACTGTGAAGAGGATCAGCAAATTGTATTTTTGGTGTAAAGAATAGCCAACCCCTCTCTATCCAACATGTTTTCCCGCATTGCAAGACCCACAATTTGCATTGCTACCAGGAGCTTATCCACCTCCTCACAGGTAAATAATATATGTTTTGTCACCTAAGAGATAGCTAGTAGCGTAAGTTAACTAGCTAACGTTACTAGCTAGCTAGCTACCTAGCATGGCAGCCAGCTAGCTTGTCAGATTAGTTAGCCAGCTAACTAGCTACAGTAGCTAGTTATAACTTGCAATGTCACACACATACTTTGCATGAGTTGAGCCACAGCAGAATGGTCTACAGCAGAATGGTCTATATTGTTTGAAACGAGTCAATGTTATCAACTTTAGCTATACTTATAACGTTAGTTTAATTTAGTTATCTAGCAATAGCTGGCTAGCAAGGATGTGTAAACGGTTGATAGCTGCTTCCACATCACTGTATAAGGTCAACTTGTCACGCTTGTTTTACTTTTAGGATTGGCAAGGGCAAGGCATGCGCTAAGCAATTATGAGTGACGTAATAATACTATGGTAAAGGTGCTTTGATTGACAGACCAGTGTTTTGTCCAGTTATCTCGAACTTGTCCTTCGTGACGTGTTAGTGAACAACCTCTGATGGCCCATTCAAGTTAATGAATTATTAGGAGGATTAGTTGGCCCAGTGTCTTCCAATTCAGGTTTCTGCAAATTAATCCATATTTAAGACACATGATGATGTACTAAAACTACTGATAGTGTACAATACAATAACATCACAAATCTTTGCTACATAAACTGCCATAATTTACACTTGTTTGATCAAAACTGTCCCAAGGTGTTTCATCAATCATGTGTTAATTTTATCCTTGACACACACTCAATGTAAAATATTTTCCTGAAGGTTGGCATTGCCAAGGATACAGTAGTATAATTCCACAACATTGATCAATAAATAACTTTTACCTTATCAATATAATCAGAGCTGTTGAAAGATTATCTGTGAATTTGAGTGTAATGGTGGCTTACATTCTTTCTACAGCTTAATGAGCCTTGAATCACCCACTCCGAAATCCTGGCTTCTTAGGAAGAGGGTCTAAATCTCCATGTGGCCAACCATGAATAGTCAAGAGGTTGAATCCAAAAATATTGTGTCCTGACGTTTGCCCTTTATGTGAATGGTTTATGGTCTACAGTTGTCATTTTCAGGTGAAAGGTTTCTGTCACCTATTTGATATCAGCAAATTACAAGGATTGATTGTGCAAAGATTAACTGAGTCCTACATGAAACTTGAACTATAAACCTTGATGATCTAACAGACCCACCCTACAAAATCACCATTGAGTCTGTCTCATTCAAGCTTATTGCATGTAATAGATGCACATCTGTATTCTACAATAGTTTGTGCTGGAATTCTTCAAACACGCAGGAAATATGTTTGGTTGTGTGATTTTATGTCAGCAAATGACATGGATAGTAGGGCTGACCCCGTTAGGTTGATAGGCTGTTGGTCAACCAAGATTTTTGTAGTCGAGCAGTGGCAAATATATTTTAATTATCACCAGTAGTACATTTACTGTTAATTACCATAATTTATAATCTACAATGTTTGTTTGGTTATGGTAATTTCTGTTAATGCATTCAATATATATTATTATTACAGTCTTACCGTTGTCATTGTAGGAGTGGACACGTTTGCAGAGCTTATTTCATAGTTTATTTCATTCCATTTACGAGTTGTCAATTTATTCATTGTCTTTTGTTTGGAGTGCTCCTGTCAATCTTGAGTAAGGAGGACACGCACCTGATTACACATAGAAGAAGGCCTAGGCTACCTGGCCTGCGGGCAAATGTAGGCTTAGAAATGTGCCCATTTGGAGATCTGATACTATGTCTGATTGTCTTAACTCACCATCACTGTTGAGCTTCTGAAAGTAATTTTTTATTCGCCTCAAACAGCAAGTAAATTAAGTCTGTTTTTACATCCATTGAGAATGACAATAGTTCCTCAACGTAGCCTATTTGAAAAATCTTTCCAGCTCGATAACCACTCAGCATGAATGGGGGAAAAAATGTCATGCTCTGATCCGGTGGAAACGTCATAAAACAGTCCTACCTGATTACCCCTTGCGCAAATAGCCTAAAGCTGTGTCTGTTTGTCAGGAGCTCACTGGCAGGAAACTCTGAGGGCCCAGAATATTTTATATATTGTTGCAAGTTTGCTAGCATGAGCTTTGGGCAGGGCCAATTTAATAGTTGATACAATGTTTCAAGTTCCTTGCAGACAGGTCATGCATAGCCGATGTGATTTTATAGGATATTTATTTTTATCAGGCTATTTTCTTTTTTTATTCTGGCCCCTCGTGGGAATCAAACCCACAACCCTGGCGTTGCAAACGCCATGCTCTATCAACTGAGCTACATCCCTGCCGGCCATTCCCTCCCCTACCCTAGACGACGCTGGGCCAATTGTGCGCCGCCCATGAGTCTCCCGGTCGCGGCCGGCTGCGACAGAGCCTGAATTCGAACCAGGATCTCTAGTGGCACAGTTAGCACTGCGATGCAGTGCCTTAGACCACTGCGCCACTCAGGAGCATGCTGCAATGTTTTTATTTGTTGGCTTTATGTAGGCTATTTTTGCATATTGGCAATGGCAATATAAGTTACTTTTAGATTTGTATCATTTTTATTAACCACATGACATTGATTTTGAGATATGAAGACTTTATTATAAATTAAATGAAACTGTTCCATGAAAATGTGCATATGAAAATCATAACTGGCACGCAGATCAGTAGAAATGGTACGATAACTTGGCACTCCAAATTAAAAAGGTTGCCGACAGCTGGTGTAGCCTATTACCGGCAACTTCAGGAGTGTAACGGCTGTGAAGGACAGCAGCAGCGGGAGGAGAAGGGTCGGAAACAGTTTTTTTTTCCTCTTCTGGTTAGGCTATATTGATCTCTGGCTCCCTCTTTAGTAATTTCAGTCTTCATTTTTAATCGCAGCGCTTAAAGCATCAGACAAGCTCAGTTGCCTACATATAGTTGATTTTATTCACAGGGTAGGGGAGGGAATGGCCGGCAGGGATGTAGCTCAGTTGGTAGAGCATGGCGTTTGCAACGCCAGGGTTGTGGGTTCGATTCCCACGGGGGGCCAGTATGAAAAATAACAAAATAATGTATGCACTCACTAACTGTAAGTCGCTCTGGATAAGAGCGTCTGCTAAATGACTAAAATTTAAATGTAATTCAAACATAGGGTGTGTCTATATATGGAAAAATACACTTTTAAAATTTCGACCAATCGATCCAACAGATTACTCTCGGTGGACCAATATATATATTTTTTTGTCCGGACAGCCCTATTAGATAGACAGTCAGTGAAATTGTCTCCTCTCCCCCTCAGAACAATGCCAAGGTGGCAGTGCTGGGTGCGTCCGGCGGTATTGGCCAGCCTCTCTCACTGCTCCTGAAGAACAGTCCTCTGGTGGGCGAACTGTCTCTCTTTGACATTGCCCACACCCCCGGAGTGGCAGCTGACCTCAGCCACATCGAGACCAGGGCCCACGTTACTGGTAAGACACCTTCCTGCTGTACATCAGCTTCACTACTAAAGTCTTAATACTATATAGTGAAATGAGTGTGAAAATGTCCCTTTGGTTTATATAATTTAACTATCATGATTAATTCACTAGGTTACATGGGTCCAGACCAGTTGGACGCTGCGCTGAAAGGCTGCGATGTCGTTGTCATCCCCGCTGGTGTCCCAAGAAAACCTGGTAAATTCACCCAAGTTGACAATGGGAACGTCATGCTTTCTTTTAATTGGAAGTGCACACATGACATTTTAAAATACAATTCTTCCAGGCATGACCCGTGATGATCTGTTCAACACCAACGCCACCATCGTGGCCACTCTGGCTGATGCTGTTGCCCGCAACTGCCCTGAGGCCATGATTTGCATCATCGCCAACCCTGTGAGTACACCACTACCACTTCTCCAGGATTAACTCAACCTCCTGGCGACTCACATTACTCTAGAGCAGCTCAGACGTCTACAGTCGGAGGCCTTAGTGTTGGAGAAAAGCCATTTTTTGTTGCCAAAGAGAAGGTAGCACTGACTTTCAGGAATGGGGGTCAAGGGCTTAATTTGAAAGGGAATTTATTTTCCATGCCAGCTCTGTTTAGGTCACTGGTTGTTTTGGTGCTTCAGTCACCACAACCTTTAATGATACAAGATCTTGTTTGATCTTGTTCAACGGTGAATGCTTAAATATTCCATTGATTGTGTAATGGCTGTGTAGTGTACATCAGAAGGTAAATGCCAGTAATAGTAACATGTGGTTTGAAATAGCTGACAGTTTTATTTCCAATCCATAGGTCAACTCTACTATTCCCATCACATCAGAGGTCATGAAAAAGTATGGTGTCTACAACCCCAACAGAGTGTTTGGAGTCACAACATTGGATATCGTCAGAGCCAACGCATTTGTCGCAGAGCTGAAAGTAAGCCATCTTTGAGCTACAGAGGGTTGAGGACCTATACTCACCCTCTATACCTTTGACACACAGGAGTGATCTCAAAGTTCACAGGCGTATCACCCTGAACGGAACAAAGCTTGTTATGTTTGTATCTTACAGATGATTGTGGAAGAGTAGATATACACTGCGTGACAAAGCAAAAACATTCACACCTACTAGAGTGGGGAAATGTTGGTGTCTCACCATTGAAATCTATTCAAAATTGCCTACTTTGTAGTTTGGTCAGAGCAAGGCTCAAAATGTGCTTGGGTGCATTCTATACAACGTTTGTATTGTAATAGGCTTATGTTGTAGGGAATGTCTCCACCTAAATATTTGGTTGTTGTCACCATGATCCAACTGCATAACATTTTGAAAGTATTTTTTTTTTTTTTCAGCAGCTAATGCTAGCTAGCTAGTATCCACTCATTGACTATTGCATAATGAGTCGCAAGGCAAGATGGCTGACTGTTTGGTGTTTCATATTGCAGGGCCTTGACCCAGCACGTGTCAATGTACCAGTGATTGGAGGTCATGCAGGAAAGACCATTATTCCTCTCATCTCACAGGTAAGAAGACCTCTTCACAGAAATAAAAAATCCAATACCTGAACGATTGCCTTGCAATGCCACCAGTAGGACTAAATGTTAATCTAATAACAAAAATGACAGACACATTTGCAATTGCAATTATTTTGGGGTTTGAGCTGATATCTGATATGCCACCCCCCTTTTTGGGGAGACACATTTGCAATTGCAATTATTTTGGGGTTTGAGCTGATATCTGATATGCCACCCCCCTTTTTGGGGACAAATTTTTTCATGGCGCCCTCTAGTGTTTGTAACATGTTATGGTGTGGTTGTGGATCAAAGTGAATGAGAGTTGTCCTACATTGGGAGGCTGTGATTCGGTATTTGTTGTTAGTCTGTAGCTTTAAGAAATTCCTAATTCATGGTCATTTTAAAATTCAGTTGGAAAAGGAATAGTATAAGGTTCTCCATGAACAAGGCTTTCCCTGTGAATAACTATACACCTTGCACACGCCGCTCTGTAGGCAACACCCAAAGTGGAGTTCCCAGCTGACCAGCTGTCTGCTCTGACCGCTAGGATCCAGGATGCTGGCACTGAGGTTGTGAAGGCCAAGGCTGGAGCGGGTAGGCAGTGTTACCCTAAGGACTGACTGATTCTCAATGAACTGTCCTTTAAACATAACTCATGTTTGAACCACTCTGATGAGCTCTAACTGGCTAACCTATGTGTGTTCAGGCTCTGCTACGCTGTCCATGGCCTACGCTGGGGCTAGGTTCACCTTCTCTGTCCTGGACGCCATGAACGGAAAGGATGGAGTCGTAGAGTGTGCGTACGTAAGGTCAGAAGAGACCGAATGCAAATACTTCTCCACACCACTCCTCCTCGGGGTAAGTCCTGCACCACCATATAAACAGGTTAAAAGTTGGAGACTGACATTTCACCTTCTGCTTATTGATGTATTAATTCTGTACTTGTACTTAATTCAGGTTCCTATTTGAATGACACACTACTTTCTTGAATACAGTTGACAATCTGAAGCGGTAACCAGGAGGAATATTTTTGTGTCCTTTTAGAAACATGGAATTGAGAAGAACCTTGGCCTGGGCAAGCTGTCAGCCTTTGAGGAGAATCTGGTGGCTGATGCCATTGGTGAGCTGAAGGGCTCCATCAAGAAGGGCGAAGATTTTGTTGCTAACATGAAGTGAGCAAGGTTTGAATCTGTGGTTATTTATATTGTCCAGTCACTTAAATGGCACCAGGGCCTCTCCAAAATCCAAGTTTCATCATGCCTGACGACGAAATAGCTCTTATCAGAAATGTTAATAACTGATCAGAAATGTTAATAACTCTATCAATAAACAGTTGACCTTACCATCTTGCTCTGGATCAATGTACGTTTGAGAGGGATTTGTAAGAGAATCATGAGATAGTATATTTTTAATGGCACTTATTCCTGCTTTTGTTTTTGTAGCTCATACATAGACATTCAAATGACTCCTGTTTGCAATCTGGAATGTCCAAGTAGGCTCCATGTAACTATGCATGGAATTGTTTGTGTAAAGTAGTATTTTGTCTTCGCCCATCAACCCAGAACTATTCTTGTGGCTTTTTTCAAAGGTGTAAAGAAATCTCAACCTAATTTACATTTTACGTTTGAATAGTTAAGGGGGGAGGGGGGCGTTGAAATGTACACTAAGAATTCCAATGTACCAAACGTATCACCTTGAGTGTCTGACAATGATATTCAGTTATACATTTTAATTTGAATAATGAGGAGTAATATGTGAAACTTCTGGGTTTAATTCTGGGTTAACCGAGATTATATGGAAGGTGTAACAAGTGGGGTCCAGCTACAAAACAATTAATCAAACGCTTAAGAACATTAAACCACACGTTTTAGAAGGAATGTGGAACTTCTTGCGCTATTTCACGACTGGTCGTGAAATGGTTAATGGGAATGTTTGGAATGAGCTCGTTACCTTGTAACCAAGGAGAGTACCACAGAAGCACACTACAAAACAAACTGGCTGCCTGGGTAGTTAGAGAAACTTAACTTAAATAAGTGTAGACTGCAGACAGATTTCAGGTTGTTTTTGACTGTATTTCGAACATTTTATTAATTACCATCTTTTGAAATTAACAACTTTTTATATTCGAGCGTTTTACACTGTAAATCACTGTAACGTTAGCTAAACTAGCTAACTACGCGTTCAAATCGCATGAAATAAGTGGAACCAGGTGCAGGCTGAGGCAAAATATTACATTTGCGATAATACTTTCACGTTAGTTTTGGCTCATGTCCTGACTTCTCTGCTTGAAGTGTCCATCATTTGATATTGCTCACAATGTCCACTGGGATTCATCATGCCACGAATCAAAGCATCAAGCCCTTCAAGTCTAGCGAAGAGTACCTGTATGCGATGAAAGAGGATTTGGCAGAATGGTTGAGAGATTTGTACGAGATTGATATTGATGTGAACAACATTGTGGAGGCGCTCGAGACGGGCGCAGTCCTCTGTTCCCACGCCAATAATGTCACACGAGTGGCGGGAGAGTTCATTCAGAAGTACGGGATGGTGCGACAGGTCCAGCTGCCAACGACAGGTGTCACGTTTGTAAATTCGGCCCAACCTGCAACTTTCCTGGCCCGGGACAACATCTCAAATTTCATCAGCTGGTGTCGAAAGCATATGGATATTAAAGGTATGACAATATGCCTGTATAATGGCAATGAATGTTTTGACAGACAACTACTTTTGCTGGCCACAATTTTTCAATTGCATATATGTTACAGAAGGCTTGAACATAATTATAGTTGAACTGAGTGAAACCATTGCCGTTCTCGGTGTCATTCAGGAGTATCACAGCTGTAAATTCAGTGGTGTAAAGTACTTAAGTAGTACTTTCAAGTATTTTTCCTTAAGTCGTTTTTGGGGATATCTGTACTTTACTAGTTATATTTTTGACAACTTTTACTTCACTCCATACATTTTCCCTGACACCCAAAAGTACTCGTTACATTTTGAATGCTTAGCAGGACAGGAAAATGGTATAATTCACACACTTATCAAGAGAACATCCCTGGTCATCCCTACTGCCACTGATCTGGCGGACTCACTAAACACTTGCTTCATTTGGTAAATTATGTCTTGAGTGTTGGAGCGTGCCCCTGGCTATCCGTAAATTTAAAAAAAATATATAAGAAAATAGTGCTATATGGTTTGATTGATATAAGGAATTTGAAATGGTTTATACTTTTACTTATACTTTTGATACTTAAGTATATTTTAGCAATTACATTTACTTTTTATACTTAAGTAGATTTAAAACCAAATACTTTTGGACTTTTACTCAAGTAGGATTGTACTGGGCGACTTAACATTTTACTTGAGTCATTTTCTATTAAGGTATCTTTACTTTTACTCAAGTATGATAATTGGGTACTTTTTCCACCACGGTGTAAATTAATATACTTTATCTGCCGTAGATTCGTACCCACTTGCCCCACAGGTCAAGTGGCAAACAGGTGTGACAAACTGACATGAATGGAGTCTCTTGAATTCATGGCTGCTTGACAAGCATCTCTATTATTTCTAGGCCCATTGTATAAAAAAATACAATATATATATATTTTTCTGAATGCACACATTCAGTAGCCTACAACGGACTGTGTGTGCTAGGCAGGTGCGCAACACAGTGTGTTTGATGGAATGCATGCAATATGGAAATGTACCACTAGGTGAGGCTCTAAGTCCATACTCCATAGGAACATGGCCTCATGAAAATTTCCCTCGTATTTATATTTTTTAATCTTTCTAATGATCACATCCCTGGATAGAACATTCCTCTTGAACATTCAAAGAAAACATGATAGTCTAGTTGGAAACTCAGAGCCCAGGGTTTTCCTGGTCATGTGGGTCACATGAGGCAACTCCTGCCCCTTTGTATTGCATTAACATCTCAAGATCCTCCGACATCTCACTCAATCCCTCTTCTCCCCGCTCCTTCTCCAGATGTGCTCATGTTTGAGACAGACGACCTGGTGCTGCGGAAGAATGAGAAGAACTTTGTGCTGTGTCTGCTGGAAGTGGCCCGGCGGGCCTCTCGTTTTGGTATGGCCGCCCCCGTGCTGATCCAGCTGGAGCAGGAAATCGAGGAGGAGATCAGAGAGGAGCTGGAGCTACCCCTGGAGGAGACCCCGCCAGTTGCCAAACCCCAGCGCCGCACCTCCAACACTCAAAACCTGGATGAGATGGTGAGACTGCACCACTGGAACCAGTTCACAAATTGGAACCAATTAACAAATCTTCCACTATAATCATTGATCAAATCCAGAGTGGCGCAGTGGTCTAAGGCACTGCATCGCAGTGCTAGCTGTGCCACTAGAGATCCTGGTTCGTATCCAGGCTCTGTCGTAGCCGGCTGCAACCGGGAGACCCATGGGGCGGCGCACAATTGGCCCAGCGTCGTCCAGGGGAGGGGAGGGAATGGCCGGCAGGGATGTAGCTCAGTTGGTAGAGCATGGCGTTTGCAACGCCAGGGTTGTGGGTTTGATTCCCACGGGGGGCCAGTATGAAAAAAATTATAATGTATGCACTCACTAACTGTAAGTCGCTCTGGATAAGAGCGTCTGCTAAATGACTAAAATGTAATGTAAATGTAAATCCACTATTCCAACTAGTTCACATATCTCCTACTGTAACTAATGTTATCTGTCATTGTAATCAGTGATCAAATCTATTTTAAGTGACCAGTTATTACATCAATCCACCACTATTAGTAGTGAACTCTACAATGATCAAGTCCAGTGGCGACCCGTCATTCAGGCTCTGCCCCACCTGTTTTGAGCCCCACACAAAAAATAAATACAAAGAAAGGGTTGTTTTGCCTGTTATTTAGGTATTAATACGTGTCACATATCAGTTTGCAAACAATGTAAAAACATGGTCTCTTTTTTGCTTTCTTGAGTAAGGCAGCTCCAAAATGCAGGTGTTTCAGCCTAGCTCAGTGCTTTCTCTGGTGGTGGGGCAGCCAGCGGAAAATATGGAGCGTAGGGGTTGGTAATGTTCTCTAGTTGCGCTGGGATTGGCTCAGTGTTCTGTCACTCATGGGGCACTACGTCACTGCCAAATCTAAGGGTAGAGCTCGAAAATTCAAGCCCCTTGGGTGCTGCCATAGAGTTACATTAGAAGTGCCTATCCAAGAAGGCTCAAGGTCATTGGCCACAGATAAAATGACGTCAAATCACGTTATATCTACAGTAGCTTTGATTGGACTGATCATGCCGCCAACATACTTTCAAAATCTTAGCTAGCAGTCATCATCATGAATCAAATCCACAATCTACTGGAAAATACTTTTTAATCCTTGTCATATGAAGAGAAATATTGAAGAGAAATTATAGATAAAACATATCGGTGCTCATCGGACATAAACATTACACAACAAGTTGGAAATTTCAAATTCAACAATGAGTGGTTTGGAAGGAATCAGTGGCTAACTGCAAGCATTGCAAAGCAATCACTAGCCTGCTATTCAGTGGAGTGGGTGTGTGTTCCCAATTCTGGGTTTAAGGGTCTCTTTTCCAAGCTTAAAATGATAAACATTCAACATTGGACATGCTGTTAATCCAGCATGATTTCTGCCTCGCTCAAAACAACTTTTAACTTGGAACTGGGAAATCTGACTTCAGTGAGTTCAAGACAACTGGGAACTCGGGGAAAAACGAGCTTAGACTGGGAAAGTCAGTTTTGAACGGTCATCCAACTCAGAATTGTAAGTTGGGAACTCTGGCCTCTTTCTAGAGCTACGACCTGAAGATTACTGACGTCATCATGATTCGACCTTGTTTTTTTTCCCGAGTTCCCAGTTGTCTTGAAAGCACCAGAAATCCAGAGAATGCCAGACTTAGATGACAAAGTTCGATGACAAAATTTGCCCACAAAGGACTGCCGCGCCACCTTCCTGTTCAAGTGAGCACAACAAGGTGAGTCCAAAAATGTCTTGTATGCTGCTGCATAAATGATGTAATATGCCAGGGAGATATGTATACTGTAGCTAAGAAAGTAATACTAAGTGTATGTTGTGTAGTAAACTGTTAGTAGCCCATGTGCCTCACCCTAATAATTTGGTCTATTTTCCCCTCTAAATTTCGCCTACTGTTCTGATTTGGTGGTGCACAGAGAAATGTCATCATAGAATATTGTAAGAGCTTTCATTGTCTGCTTATATGCCCCCTTTATTTATTTTACGGTTCTGATTTGAAATACAGGGAGAACACTAAGAACGGCCCATGTTCTGAATTCTGTCGCTGTACATTTCAAAAGTGCTGAACAAATAGTTATATTGACTACGTCCGTCCTAGCTCGCTTATTAATGTCTTAATCGAAATTACGGATTGCCTCTAATCCGCTTGTCGTCTCTTTATGCCATAGTTTGTACATCTCAATTGTCAGTAGAAACCACATTTGTTTAAGCAAGTCAGCCATATCAGCTATGTTTTTTTTAAAGGCAGTAAATGAGGCTGAATGAACTGTTTGGCTGCCAGACAAGGCTCCGCTGATAGCCAGGTGTAGCGATGGGAAGGTGTTGGGACAGCTTTATGTAGGCCCTAACAGGTTGTGTGCACCGTGTGTCACCGTTATAGTGCAATTAATGTATTGTTTAGTGTTGTGTAGTGGCTTTGCTGGCATGCATCCATATATATATATATATATATTTTGCCCCACCAAGATTGGCATGCTAAAATCGCCAATGATCAAGTCTACTGTAACTAATGATGAAATCACCCGATGTAACCAGTGATCAGATCTCCTGCCCTCAATGTGGCCAGTCTGGTTTAACTACTGATCTGGTTCCCTCTATTGGGAAAGGACTGGTACTCATGAGGTTTTATACACTGAATGATATTAGACTTTGTTGGATAAACCTAATGATGGTAGTTTGGGATATAGGGGTTATTTCCATTTTAATGAAGTTATCTGAGGAAATTAATTAGACCATCCAATTTTAGTGGAAAAGATGAACAGACCATGGAAATTGCCATGTCAAATTAGTCTACAGGATTGACTTGAATCTTCTCTTAAAACCCTGTGTCGAGGGATGGAGGGCTTGTTGTTGTTGCTACAGAGATGTGAGTTGTAGGACAAGCAGGGGGAATGTCCTGGCGGGTGCACTTAGCTGCCGGGATGAGTCAGTGATTTATCTAAGTCTGGGGTTCAATCCAGTCACTCACTGATATATTGCATAGATAAGCAATAGCTGGATAGTGTAAGGCGACGAAGAAACAGTAGGGCTGCCTTTGTATAGCGCAGTGTGTGTCCGTTTCCGTGTGTGTGATGCGACACTGAATTGTATTTGAATTTAACTGTAATTGTCACCCTTGCTATAGAATAAAGACAACATAAGCATTAATATAAATAAAGTATAAAAACATACAGTTCAAGTTCAAGTGTCGGCTCTTGGATTTCACCTGTGTGTGTTTGTTTGTTTCTCAGGTCCAGTACCTCATAAGCCGCTGCAGCTGCCCCACACAGTTTCCCATGGTCAAAATGTCTGAGGGCAAATACAGGGTGGGGGACTCCAGCACCCTCATATTTGTTCGGGTATGCCTGCCCTCGCCACCTGTTTTACTCTCTCTTCCCTCTCCTCCTCATCATCAATCGCTCACTCTTTCCAGCTGAGCTCATTCTGTGCCTGTCACTTCTCAACTCTGACAATCTATCACAGATATACCTGTATACTGCAGCACTCTCTGGCAAAAAAAAAAAAGAACTTTCTGTTTTGTGCTTTTTTACTGTGGCAGAACGTGGGGTGCGATATCTGTGGGGTGTGATATATGTAACTTTGAAGGTCTCTTGGAGGACTTTGAAATTCTTAATGCTATGCAGTCATTATTATGAGTGAATCATATCTGACTTTTACGATCTTAACCCACCAATTATACAATGTTGCAGTTGTGCTTTTCTTCATAGGTATGGTTTGGGCGTGCATGCGTGTGTGTCCATGTGTTTTCAGATCCTGCGTAATCACGTGATGGTGCGAGTGGGTGGAGGTTGGGACACCCTGGAGCACTATCTGGACAAGCATGACCCCTGTCGCTGCACCTCTATCAGTGAGTTCTCTCTGACCCCCCCCCCCCCCCCCCACACTCACACACTAGCCCCCCTCCTAGACTGAACCTGCTTGCATCACCATCACTTACATAATGCAGGAGCAGCCACCAGGGAAATTGACTGATATAAGAATATGAGTCAATATTCCTCTCCCACAACTCTCTAACCACATTACTATACAACAATGCAACTCAACTTTATTAAACCCCACAGGGGCAATTTAGATTAGAAGGAATCAAAGAGAGTACATGTATGTGTTATATAATTACAGTAGGATGGAGAAGTGGAATACCTGGAATATTACTCAATGCTATTCTCAATATTGCAATACAAAGTAGGGCATGCTGCACACTAGGTGGCAGTCCACACCTTAACCATTGCGCTTGTCATGATTGGACGAATGAGCTGCTCGTTGTGTATTATTGTGCATTGACAAAGCACATACATTAAAGGGGCCAAGGAAAGGAAGCATGGATAGATGACTGCGGTCCCATTTGCGCTACTGAGTCACACTTACAGTATATATACAAAAGTATGTGGACACCCCTTCAAATTAGTTGATTCGGCAATTTCAGCCACACCCGTGCTGACAGGTGTATAAAATTGAGCACACAGCCATGCAATTTCCATAGACAAGCATTTGCAGTAGAATTGCCTTACTGAAGAGCTCAGTGACATACAGAAATCGTTTGTCGAGGTCTGTGTGGAAGAACTTGACTGGCCTGCACAGAGCCCTGACCTCAACCCCATTGAACACCTTTAGGATGAATTGGAATGCCGACTGCGAGCCAGGCCTAATCGCCCAACATCAGTGCCCGACCTCACTAATGCTCTTGTGGCTGAATGGAACTAAGTCCCTGCAGCAATGTTCCAACATCTAGTGGAAAGCCTTCCCAGAAGAGTGGAGGCTGTTATAGCAGCAAAGGGGGGACCAACTCTATATTAATGCCCATGATTTTGGAATCGACAAGCATATGTCCACATACTTTTGGTCATGTAGCGTATGTAATTGTGAAGCATTGCTGGCCTCCTCTCCAAGGACGGCTTCTAACCAAAGGCATGTAACATCATAGCCGTGGGAAGTAGGGGTGCTGAACTTTTTTTTTTTCTCTGACAAAAGTAGTTCGCTGGGCCTTCACTAGTCCTGTATTAGCCAACGGCTATATCGGTTCGCTAACAAATCACAGCATCCCCACTCCCAAACATCTTCCCGAGGCTATGTGTAACATCTCACTCTCCTGGCTCACCTGGCTAGTACAATAAAGCCCCAAGAGCGCCAGAGTGGAAGGACGGTGGACTGTGGTTGTCATTTTGTCATATAAATAGACACATTTCTATTAGGAGCAACCATTAGCATAACCTCTATACTTTCAGCTGATGAAAGTTGGAAAAAGATTGGAAAAAGTTGACTCCAATGCAGAAATATGAATTGTGACAGGCACTGACATTGCAAACATAAACCTAATTGGTATTCATAAGATCTATCATAGATGTTAAATATGCAGTGGGAAAAAATGGTGCTTAATTCCTAAAAAGATCACCGTAAGTGCTTTATGTAACGATTACCATTCAAATGAGTGCTGCTGAATCCTGTATCTTCCATTTTATTTTCCACCTCGGTCATTTACTGGGATATTAACAGCTTCCCTGTAACACTGGTGACATGATGACCTTGTTTTCTTCTCTTCTCTCGTTTTCCATCCCTCTCTCTTCCATCCGTCTTCAGCCCATAAGCTGGCCCAGCGCCCGGGCACGCCGGTCCATGAGATCAAAGGCAGGTTACCGGGGCGCCCAGACGGCCAGGGTCCAACCATGCCTACCACGCTGCTCATGAGTCGCCACGCCCAGGCCCCCCTCCAGCCCGTCCTCTGGACCCCCTCCACCTCCTCCCCCAGGGGCCTGAGGCCAGCCAGGACCAGGGTTTCCCGATCACCAGACCCAAGGCTCAGAGCCTCTCGCTCCCCCAACAGATCATCCCTCTCTCCTGACCCAGGCCCCCCGTTCTCCAGGGAGATGAAGACTATTTTTTCCAACAGGTAAGAGAGTAATGGTGATGGCATTGATGAAAATATTAGTAATATTGATGAAAATGCTATTAAAGACAATGATGGACATTGAGGGTGTTGAAATTGATTGTAAGTTCACATTCATGGGTGGTTTTCAGTACCAGGGTACATAATCAGTGAATGCCACACTGACCTTAAACACAGTCTGAACCTAACAGGATCATTAATAACACAGCTTGGTTCCTCTGGACCTTGGTATTAGTGCTGATCACTGCCATTTAACTACATTATAAGATGACCTGTTCATTGACAGATGCAAAAAGGATACATAATATGTTGAAAAACCCTCGCTTGTTGTCTGGCATCAGCAGCAAACACCTTCCTAATATTGAGTTGCACCCCTTTTTGCCCTCAGTACAGCCTCAATTCGTCGGGGTATTGACTCTACAAGGTGTCTAAAGCATTCCACAGGGATGCTGGCCCATGTTGACTCCAATGCTTCCCACAGTTGTCTCAAGTTGGCTGGATGTCCTTTGGATGGTGGACCATTCTTGATACATACGGGAAACTGTTGAGCGTGAAAAACCCAGCAGCGTTGCAGTTCTTGACACACTCAAACCGGTGCGCCTGGCACCTAGTACCATACCCTGTTGAAAGGCACTTAAATATTTTGTCTTGCCCATTCACCCTCTGAATGGCACACATACACAATCCATGTCTCAATTGTCTCAAGGCTTAAACATAATTCTTTAGCCTGTCTCCTCCCCTTCATCTACACTGATTTGAAGTGGATTTAACAAGTGACATCAATAAGGGATCATAGCTTTCACCTGGATTCACCTGGTCAGTCTACGTCATAGAAAGAGCAGGTGTACCTAATGTTTTGTATACTCAGTGTAGATAGGGCACCTTGCTGTAGTTGATAAACCCATTACAAGTGTCCGAGTTAAGTGTTAAGTGCCATTCTATGTTACAGAGGACTGAGAGCAGAACCCTCCTACCATTAGAACCTTATGGCCTTGTCTGAGAGCCCCGTAGGTGTATAAGGCATTAACAAAGCAAACACTGCAGTACAGATCCAAGGGCTGCCCACATAAACCTACTTTTGTTCAAGAAAAAGGATGTTGGCTTAAATTAATTGTTTAGTTTGTCAGTCTGTACATTTTAAGTTTAATTTGTTCTGGTAGCATATTGTTATGTTCATGAATAATTTGTAAACTTTTAATGGAGTCCGTTGACACTTTACTGTTGGTGAACATAGTACAGTACAGATGTGTTTATGAGCATCAAGCAAAATGTGTTTTGTAACCGATATGGAAATTACTCTTTTGCTTTTTCCAAAGAGTGAAATTACATGATCTGCACAGGAATTGTCTAAAACGTGTGTGCACGTGCATGACTGTGTTATATTGTGATAATGACTCAATACCTCTATGCTGCACATAGTTTTACATTTTTCCGATTTTATTGCAATTCACATTTTCAATGTACCTACTCTGTGTTGGATCATTTCACTGTTAACGTCCCCCACTATATGTTAGATAATTAAAATGAATCAACTTTGTAATGCCGCCACAATGTATTATTAACATTGTGGCTGGCTTACTTGAGCACAAACAGTCACTGGAGTTATAATTATGTGGATAATGATTGTAGGGATGCATATTTTAGCATACACTACACCACCAGGTCTCTGTGGGCAGCCTGTTATTGGAAATGATGGGCAGATTAACTAAAGGGCATAATTATGATTTTTTTTGTTTTTCAAATGGTTATATTAATGGTATGATATACTCTAGATTAAAATGTTCAGTATAGTCTATTCACGATATTTCAGTCTCAGCATTATGCTGCAGAATTCACTGAGAATGTAAAACTACTGACATAGATGTACAGGCCTTCTCTCCAGGTTAGTTTGAGGATATGAGAGGACCACATTGACTGTCCATGAAAAAGTATTTGTGGTCATCTTTGTCTATCATCCCTGGTTGAAACCATGTCCTGCAGGCTCTGTAGACTTGGATTTTCATGTAGCAGCTCTGCTTTGCTTTGATTTCTCAAATTCTGTAATTCGTTTCCAGGCATCCACGTACTTAAGCTCCAGGCTAGGAAATATTCTAAAATGGCAGAACATTTTCTGTCCATGGAATTCATCTATTGCACAATAGCATGGCAAGCAACTACGCCTATGCATTTTTGGTCATAGCATAAAACTGAGCAATTTAAACATTAAAGGTCCAATGCAGCCATTATTATCTCATTATCAAATCATTTCTGTGTAACAATTATGTACCTTACTGTGGTTGTTTTAAATTAAAATGCATAGCATTTTTGGCCATAGCATACATTGAGTTTTTGTGCTGTTCAACTTCAAGCATTCATCAAATCACAAAGAAAATACAGCACAATAGCATTATATAGGCCCACTTAAAGGTAGACAGCTAAATGACGTTGCCATGAGCAGCACCGCAGATATTGAGATGAGCGAGATGCAAGACTTCGCTCTCACACAGTCACACATCGTATCTGCGCATGTGCACATGTTCGCTACACACTCTTACAGCGTGGGAGCCACGGGACCAAAACAGCGGAGAAGTTGAGCCTTGCGCTTCAGCGCTCTTAGTTGTTGCGTAAATTGACCCGCTATCCTGTTTTCTTTCTGCATCTACATCATATCGCTGACTCTACCTTTAAAGTCTATGATAAGATAAAATAAAGATATTGGTTGTCTCGATAAAATCCTAATAAAATTTTCAGTGTTGCTGTCTACTAGGGAGTCACTATGAGTTGCTGTCTACCAGGGAGTCACTATGAGTTGCTGTCTACCAGGGAGTCACTATGAGTTGCTGTCTACCAGGGAGTCACTATGAGTTGCTGTCTACCAGGGAGTCACTATGAGTTGCTGTCTACCAGGGAGTCACTATGAGTTGCTGTCTACCAGGGAGTCACTATGAGTTGCTGTCTACCAGGGTCCCAGGGAGTCACTATGAGTTGCTGTCTACCAGGGAGTCACTATGAGTTGCTGTCTACCAGGGAGTCACTATGAGTTGCTGTCTACCAGGGAGTCACTATGAGCGCCTTATATGTAGATGTAGCATAGTGCGTTCTGACAGCCTTTTTTACATGACAGTTTTTGCATTTAACAACACAAGATTGAGACAGTTGGTGAAAGCAGAACAACTCTAGGCTAGATGTATGCATCTTACTTCACACACACACCACACATGCCTACACGCACGCACACAAAAACATCCACTGTTTGTTTGCTGTTGTAATTTGTGCTGTTGCCAGTGTCTTTTGTCTGTTTTGTCTTACATGTTTTTTTTAAAATGTTTAATCCGCGACCCCACAGGAGGCCTTTTGCCTCTTGCCAGGCCGTCTTTGTAAATAAGAATTTGTTCTTAATTTACTTGCCTGGTTAAATAAAGGTAAAACAATTTAAATAATATTAATTTAAGCAGCTTTTATTGTTTGTTTGTGCAGCTTTTGTTTTTAGTTTGATTACCCAAACACATGTAGAAGTGGATTTGGTAGGCTACATTGTAGAGAAGCCTGGAAACAACTTTCATTCTATATACTTATTCATGAGCAAACTTGCAATAACAAATGAATAATGGTAGTTATTTAGGTCACCTTGGAGAGGTCGGATAAGCAGAGGCATATCAAAACTTGACAGTGTGTGATTTTGTTGTGCTATTTCAGACTGAGACAGAGTGCCTACACACCCACTCTCCAGCACCACCAGTCTGGGAGTAAGGATGACTCAGCACTCAACTCTTCCACGAGGACAGGCAGAGAGGCCATACGCTCATCCCAAGCCCCCCGCCTCACCAGCAGCCTGCCTCGGTCCATCCAACGCTCCTCCACACCTCAACCCCAGCCCAAGGCTAAGCCCCAGGCTCAGAGGCCTAGAACCCCACTGGTCTTCCATAGGTCCCCTGGGCAGCAATCCTCCCTGCCCCAGCCCAGACCAGAAAACAGGCTTACTCAAACCTGGACCAAGTCTCAGTTTGCTTCTAAGCTCAGGCAGAGCTCCACATTGGGCGGCAACAGCACAGAACCCCCAACCGGTACTGCACCCCAGAGGCATGGAGGACCCGACATGGCAAGGGCCGCTACACCCGTCAGAGGCTGCAGCCCCGCCAGATATACCCCTGTCTGCCCCAGACAACCCACCATCACTGTCCAGCAGCCTGAAAACAGTGATACTCTTCAAAAGAGTCCCGATTTAATTTGCACCTTCTGTCCAGCCAAAACATTCTGGGAAGAATCCTCTGGGGAACGCCAAGTAAGGCCCTTCATACCCATTGGGGGAAACTTGAGGAGAGATCCAGATAAGACACCCACCCCTTATGACAGCACAACCAACCCTTCACACAGCTTTTTAAACAGCGTCTCCAACCACAAGAGAATGCAGGGCCTGACGAGACGGAATGCATTTGGCTTTCCTGTCAATGACGAGGCTTCTCACAAAAGCACTGAGGTGAGCCTTGAAGAGCCTGAGCATCCAGAACTATGTGGCAAAGTCTTTGGGGCAGGAGACGGAGCGATAGACCATGCTTACCTGTCCATCCCTCCCCCCATCAGCCCAGCCCAGGAGGCCAGTCTGTACAAGAGTCTGGAGCACGAGATCCTGTCCAACCTCCAGCAGCTCAGTGTCGACTTAGATGACAGCCACAGCCTCCCAGATGACAGAAAACACAAGCAAAACGGTCGATACCAACAATCTCAGAATGTCCCTGAGAGTGATCATGGTGGATTCAGTACAATTCTAGCTGGGTCTGAACCATCTCCACATACCTCAGCCTCTGATGCCACACATCCAGGTGAGTCCAGCTTTGATGCAGTCATCACTGAGTTCTCCAAAATGAATAGGCTGCTGGAAAAGGTGTGTGTGGAGAGCTGGGTGAACACACTCTCAGGCAGCCCTAGAGCCAGTAGAGAGACTTGCAGCAGCACAGAGGTGGTGGACTCAAGCTTAAACCTCAAAGTGGCCAAAGCCTGTGTGACCAGCTCCTGGTCCTCTCTGGGCACCAGTGTCGAGTCCAAAGAGCAGCCCGCTGATTCTACAACCTCTCCTGACTCTGGGAATGGAGTTAGCATTAGCATCAGGCGCAGGGTTACTGAAGCCAATTCACCTGTAGTGGACCCCAGAGCCACTACCGCAACAGGCCCTGATAGCCTGTTGAAACCAATGAACGGGTCTTTCAGGCAGAAGAGCACCTTGAAGAAACCAGAGAGGGTGCCCTCCATCTACAAGCTGAAGCTCCGGCCCAGAGTCTGGCCCAGGCACGACTACAGACCAGGCAAGAAGCCCTCGCGGATCCCCACCCCAATCTCCTACAGAGGGGGTCAACCTGCGGGGGACCTTGGAGGGTCGAGAAGGGGGACACACACACCTAGACAAGCATCACACACACACACCGCAGACAGACAGGGTTCCACAGAAAGGCAGCATGGCTATGAGGCCACAGTGACGCTAAGGCAGTGGCAAATGCCTAAACAGGAGACAGCAGAGGATCCAGAGCATGAGTCCTGGGTCTAACCCCTTACATTTCGCTTCCATAGCCAATTGCAGTACTCAAGGGAAAAATACTCTCTTCGGATGGTAATGTACAGGTACTGTACTATATTATTTTTGGTCAAAGCTGAATTGAAAGATGATCTGCAATCAGTGGAGCGTTCACTTCAACAAATAGAAAGGTTTTCAACTATAATGCTCAGTTTTGGTTCAATTTTTTTACTTATTCTGTGTGCACTGCACTCCATTGTGTGACAAAATTATTTTAACCCAAAATGCAAAACTCTTTCTTCAATGCTATGGTAATCATATTTATCTTTATTCCAAAAGAAAATAGCAATTTTCCGCCACAATTCTCTATTCCCTCTCCGAAAGCTGAATGTTTTCAATTCCCTGTGATTTTATATGTAAGGGAAATCTATTTGGTGGGAGGTCAGATTTCCATTTCAATTTTGCCTCAGAGCAGCACTCGGCTCCATTCCAAATGCTCTTTTTAAATGGTGAACCAGGGAGCAACACACACAGAGGAACACACACATAAACAGAGGCAGCTGGAGAGCGAGGAGAATAGAAGCATTCAGACCTTAATATCAGACACATCTGAGTGTCTCACAGCTGCTGCCTGTGTTACTCCAGGATCCGTTCTATCAGAGCACAGAAGATAAGCAGACAGCCTCACCCAGACCCACAGACTCGGGTATTGAGGCCTGGCTGAATTTCAGAGCCATTGTATTGATACAAGGCTGCAAACACACATCCACACACACTCACAAACTCAGATAGACATTAACACACTCCCACACACACACCATGAGATACCTTTGGTGGCTGAAGCCACAAACTCATTTGCTGAGTGATTTGTTTTTTTGTTTTTTTGAATGAAAGATTCATGATTGTGAGCTGAATCACAGATAATCAACTTTGAATAGATTTTTATAAAAACAATTTTTATCAACGTTCAAGGCATAATTTTTTTATTGACCTCTGCTTCTCAGGAGTGACCCTCTCGTTTACAGTTCCGCGGGTCACTACTTTAGCATCCTTTGATTGCTTTACTTCGCCTCAGATGCTGTCCCAGTCACCTTGTGTGTATTGAGTTTATGGCTGCAGCCTGCAGACTTCTATATACCCCTCTAGAAGATCAAGTCTGGAGCTATTAATAGCCCTTGTCAGAGCTGCAGCCCGTCACACAACAGCAGCTGTGTTCGCCATCAGCTCGCACTCATGTCACGTTCCTCGCCTCCTCAGTCTCGACTAGAAAGACTCCTTAAATTACCTCTACTTGCTGTGGGCCGGCCAGCGAGACTGACACACTGGGATGAGCTGTACTAGGGACGAACAATACACACTGGGACATTCCAGGGAGCAGTATCCAGTAGCCATGAACTCAATTTGTTGTTTTTTCAGCAACTTCATTTCTCAAAACAAGCTCCTATTGAGATTGTTGAGCAATTGATTGATTTGAATACAGCATTAAAACATCTTCTACAACACAACTAGTGTTTATTTTCTTATTATGCCCTCAGGTTCAAGATACCCCTCCAGTAGATATCTTTGAATTATACAATACTGATATTTTAGACACCTCAAAATGCCAGGTTAGTGGTTCTCATCAGAATGGGCCTTTAGCGAGAGACTTCAGGAAATTCAATTACATTTTATTCAATTTCTATTGGAATGTGTAATGATGTAGTACCCGGGTAAGAGATTATGCAGGTCTATGACTAAGGCAGTGGAGGAGGGAAAAGTCAATCTATCCTGTGGAGTAAAGGGCAACCATGCAAGTCTCTTTATGAGACTGTTATAGTCTGTCGAGTTTCTCTAGCTATGTACTATAGACCATGCAAGAGTTCCAGACAAACCTACCTGTGGAGTATTGAAGAGGGGATGCTCAAATTATGATGTATTCATGAAACAGACCAGAGAATGGGACGTCTGAGGACTCCATCGTAATTATAGCTTCACATCAACACAGAGCAATTTAAAGTCATCTTCATAATCATACAGAGAGGTAGCTAGCTCATCAGCATATTTACCGGTTTTTATTTATTTATTAAGGAACAGGCTCATTAAAATCACAGGACATGACAGTAGTTCTGTTCTGATTTTGAGGACTGTTACAGACATTTGAGGCTCTCCTTATGGAATGTGATTGGTCCAAAACAGATAAAACACTCATGCAACTGGCAGTTTGTCACTATCATGAAGGAATCGCTATCTTACATTTTAGTCATTTAGCATACGCTCTTATCCAGAGCAACTTACAGTTAGTGAGTGCATACATTTTCATACTGGCCCCCCGTGGGAAACGAACCCTCAACCCTGGCGTTGCAAGCGCCATGCTCTACCAACTGAGCTACAGGGGAATATAAGAATATCTTCTTATAGTACCATATTAATTTAGTTCCACTCAAACAAGTGGCTATAGTCAGGTAGGCTAGCTGTATCTACATTGTATTCTTTAACAGTATTCTCCTTTCATTGAATACAACCTTATAGGAACAAGTGTGTCCTTTTGTTCCCCCTTATTCCTAAATTTTTTCTAGATGACTGTTTTACCAAAGGTTACTATGATTCAAGCATGGCATGTTCATTTATTGCTGTATTTAGCAGTTCAGAGAACCTGAACAGGCCGATATGTTGGCAACCACGTCTAGCCTCTCAAGTATTTTATTACATTTAGACCTTATATTTATTAAGTCTCATATCAGGGGTTTGGTCTGAGTTGTGTTTGTAGGTATATGTATATAAACACCCTTATGTGCTTCTACAGTTGTAGATTTAGGATGTACACAGTTGTTTTTGTTTGCGAGTGGAGCGTAAAAGTGGACTGGATTGGATTACTCCATATAACAGAATCACACCATCCACTTTGAAATTCACTGGGCTCGCTTAAAGCTTCACCAAGACTAGGAAACACTGAGGTAAAAAGTGAGGTTTTCTCAGTAAATGAAACAGAAGTTCTCTGGTGAGAACGTTCAGTGTTTTGTAAGCTACTAGAAGCTTAAACACTGTGTGGGACACTGTCCCTATGGTGGTTTGTTTTGGTTTCAGAGGACTAAAGGAGAGGGTATTTTGCTATTGGCGTAAATTGAATGACAGTTTTTATCTTTTGCTTTTTTTTAATTTGAGATTGGTGTGTATGGAATTCGTATTGCTACCTCTGGGGATTATATGATCAAGTGTGCACCTTCAAGACATATCAGAGCAGAGAAAGATAATGCATCAGCAGATGTCAGCCTCAATCCCACTCCAAACAGGGCTTTTACATTAGCAATGTCATACATCGATCAACATCCAGGTGAGTCAAACAACATATGCCAATCTGTCTGTCTGAAGCGACTCCCAGATGCTGGAAAGTTCCTTTAGTGCACTTGGACGAGTTCAGAATTTTACAACCAGGGGTTTTAGGTTGGTTTAGCTGCCTCCAAGTCAAGAAAAGATCAAAGATACTTTACAAAGATGGATAGGGTGGTACTCTCCATCCCTGATCAAATCCGATAATAGCAGCAAAACAGAGGGCTGTTATATGTTAATACTGTAGCTTCACATGGGACAGAAACGTGGTCAGTCATGGTGGTCCATCAATACTTCTCAGGTGGTCTTAGGGAGGTTTCCTGTACCAATGGCCCTCAATGCCACTCCAGTGCCCACCCACTGTCACTGTGTAAATCACATGAGGGCACAGCGTTCGTTTCTCAGTGCCCGTTGGAAGCGGATGGTTGCATGGACGTGTTTGCAGCGGGCACAGCCCACACTGCGCAGAGCCTCCCCGAACAGCAGAAGCACGTGCCAGTTGAACTTCGCTGAACACTCCACATAGCCGCACTTCCAGTTTTTCCTCACCAGGTCAGACACGTTGTGGCGGGGGATTACACGCCCCCGCTGTAGGTCCCGCTTGTTCCCCACGACCAGGATGGGCATATCGCCTGTGCCCAACACCCTGGAGAGGAAAAGAGAGACAAAAACACACTGAGAATGACAGGTAAGACACCTGTGGTCAGCTAAAGCCTGAGGTATTCAACACACATTGGTTGCTTTTCTGTGCTCATTTAAACAGAAACACAGCATCACATAAAAGCAAGGTTTAGCTATGACTGACTCACAGGTTTGTATCTCAGTTATAGTTGACGCTATTGAGGCAGCGTTATCAAATCCCCTGCCCTGCCAACCCTGTCCAAAATTGACTCTTTAAGCCTTTTTTTATCAGGAAGTCTACGTAGGGAGAGGATTAAGGGCCGTGTCTGTTTGGAGTTATTCATGACCAAAAACCAGGGGCGCAACATATCTAAAAACTGTGAGTTAAACGAGAGAAGGTTTAAAATCACAAAGATCCCCCTCTTGTCAAAGTAATATGCTGGTAGCTCCTACAGAGCTTTGTTTGAAACCTTGGGTTTCTGAGGTGAGTGTTCAATTTGATACGTTGCAGCCTTATTCTAAAATCGATTGAAAAAATATATATATATCTCAGCAATCTACACAGAATATCCCATAATGACAATGTGAAAACAGGTAGTTAGAAATGTTTGCAAATGTATAATTTTTTTAAAAAAAACATACCTTATTTACATAGGTATTCAGACCCTTTGCTATGAGACTCGGATTGAGCTCAGGTGCATCCTGTTTCCATTTATCATCCTTGAGATGTTTCTACAACTTGATTGGAGTCCACCAGTGGTAAATCCAATTGATTGGACATGATTTGGAAAGGCATACACCTGTCTATATAAGGTCCCACAGTTGACAGTGCATGTCAGAGCAAAAACCAAGCCATGAGGTCAAAGGAATTGTCCATAGAGCTCCGAGACAGGATTGTGTCGAGGCACAGATCTGGGGAAGGGTACCTAAAAATGTCTGCAGCGTTGAAGGTCCCCAAGAACACAGTGGCCTCCATCATTCTTAAATGGAAGAAGTTTGGAACCACCAAGACTCTTCCTAGTGCTGGCCGCCCGGCCAACCTGAGCAATCGGGGGAGAAGGGCATTGGTCAGGGAGGTGACCAAGAACCCGATGGTCACTCTGACAGAGCTCCAGAGTTCCTCTGTGGAGATGGGAGAACCTTCCAGAAGGACAACCATCTCTGCAGCACTCCACCAATCAGGCCTTTATGGTAGAGTGGCCGGACAGAAGTCACTCCTCAGTAAAAGGCACATGATAGCCCGCTTGGAGTTCGTCAGAAGGCACCTAAAGGACTCAGACCATGAGAAACAAGATTGAACTCTTTGGCCTGAATGCCAAGCGTCACGCCTGGAGGAAACCTGGCAACATCCCTACGGTGAAGCATGGTGGTGGCAGCATCATGCTGTGGGGATGTTTTTATTTTATTTGATACATTTGCAAATATTTCTAAAAATCTGTTTTTGCTTTGTCATTATGGGGTATTGTGTGTATATTGACGAGGGGGGAAAAAACAATTTAATCAATTTAAGAATAAGGCTGTAACATAACAAAATGTGGAAAAGGTCAAGGGGTCTGAATACTTTCCGAATGCACTGTATCTCTAGTCAGATATATGTGAATAAGACCCAGAATGTCACCCTCCTCTCCCTTATCTCCTGAAGATGATGATAGTTCTTGTGACAGTTCCCTCTTTCCTAAGAAATAAGTAGCTTTTCCTCAACTGTCAGTTCCTTATATTGATTTCAAAAGAATGTAGCCTACTTCTCCAAATGTCGATTTTACAAGCATGTACTGCAAAACCTTTAGCACGTAAATCTAAAAAAGCGAATGATTTGTGCATAATCATACCTTGGCGAGCCCACCCCATAAATGTATGACTGGGAGATTAATGGCTGTGACAGGACCGGTCACTGACACCATTAGCCTCTGTATGGCATTGGCAACGTGGCGCTGTCAGAGTGGGCACTGACTGACGGCCTCATGCTCACACACCCTGTGACAGCAGCCAACAGGCTGATGGGACAACTTCACCTCACATCCATCACTGCTGCCAATGACAGATCACTTGTCACCTACTGTCACCTCTGGAACAGCTGTGACGTCCACTTTCACGTCTCAGTGCCACGAAGAGGAACATGTGTGGATTCAAGAGGAAGCCTTATTGACTTTTCAAAACTGAGGCCAAGGGGGTTGGTTGGTTCAAACCTACAGTAACTCCTATGCCTTGATACATTTTTACCATGGTGTGTTATGAAGAACTTCAACTAAATTAGACATATTTTATAATACATTAGATATGACAACTTCTTCATTACAATAGCAGCACATACAGTATGTACATTGCAGAAAAATCACACTTCAACAGGTCTCTACTACAATACAAGCACATATGATTTAGGAGAGGCAGCCAACCAGCTGTCAGTCTAATCCCTGGCCCATTAGCAGATTTGGAGATTATATTAAACAACCCATCTCTCCCTCTGTGTGTGTGCGAGCGAGACATGTGAGACATGCGAGAGAGATGGCGGTGTGAAGATTATTTCATTATAAATTAAACACGTGTTTGCCACCAAGGTCACTGGTTGCCTCACAATGACAAGACACGTGGTTGCAAGCTAATGGCTCTCAGAATCAATCTCCGCTCCACTGATGTACACACACGTATCACACATCCGTCCCTCCAAACGTCACATCATGTCACTATCCCACACTGACATCAGTCTAAGACGAACACCAGCCTTTTCCCAAACCTATTATTAGGACACACAGTCTCTGATTAAAGCTATCTGGGCTCCCAGGAGGTATGGTTTGCGCAAATTGCTTTGACTAATTATATGACACAGAATTGGTTTAGCAGCTGCCTGGATTCGGAGAGATTTATCGACCTGAAAAGCAAGCGAGCACTACTGACATGAGATTTGTGGATTCGCAAGGAATGGTTATCGATTTTCTTCAGCTAAAAGCCAAGAGGGGTGGTTTGTTAAAAAATCATCTAATGTTTCTGGATACATTTCATCCACAGTGAAAGATTGGCTTGGTAACAGTTCTTTCAGACTGTGACAACTTGTTTAAGATAACCACTGTGAAATACTTGTTTTGTAACAAGTACATGTTGTGTCTATAGCGTCTATTGTGAGTGTCTGTAAAGTGGGTGTTGTTAAAACTCTTTTCGGCACTGTTTTTCATCACACCATTCCACACCGCATTCGCTTCCAACAACATCCCAAAAATACAGAATTCAAAAGAACACACAAAAGAGAAAAAAGACAATGAATGGAGGGATTGTGAAGAGAAGCCGAAGTGATTATAAGACACTTGACCCTGGCAGTCTGAGCCACTCATGTTGATTTCAGTCCAAATGTTAAATAAATGTTCTATGTGAGTGTGGCGGTGGAGGCTCCTGATTGCCGATTGCAGCCAAGGCTGCTCTATTCATAGCGAGCCATAATTACGTCTGAGTTCAAAGAGCTGGTGCCAGCCAGAGCTGGCCCCTATTTGGCATGCAGGCCGTGTCCTCACCTGGTCTCTAGGATCTGTTGGCGCATGGTCTTGATGTATTCAAAGCTGTCGAAGCAGCAGATGTCATAGACCAGGATGTAGACGTGAGCGCTGCGGATGCCTCGGCAGCAGGTGTCTGTCCACTCCTGGACGAGGGAGGGGAGAGGATAGAAAAGTGAAGAAAAGAGAATAGAGGAGAAGAGTAGAAAGAGGAGGGAAGGAGACAGGAGGGAGGAGACAAGACACGGGGAGGGCTCTCATTAGGCAGCAGTACCAAAAAGTAACTTTCCTTTTGTCCGGTAAAACTCAGATAGCACTGTTTTATACATTTTGAATGTGATGGAGAGTTTTCTTTTAAATAGTAGCATTGAGACCAATAGTCTTCACCTATTCTGTACACACGCACGCACACACAGCTTTTGTAAACTTTTTCAGAATGATGTTAGTCTAGTTCATTTGCTGAAATTACTTGCAACATTGCATACTCTCTGGTCAATATGACCAAAACACAATCTGCTCTCTTTTGTCATTTTAATTTCTGCTTTATGATTGGCTCCTCACTGTGAGAAATATTGTTTGCAAGCTAGTGCTTGCCTTGCATAGCTTTTCAAAAACACCTCAAGCACCTCTCCAGTGCAAATTAAAACACTGATTTCCTTATAAATTATCAATAGTGTGACATTTGATTGAAGTTATACCCATAACTGTGGTTAATCTGTTGACTTCAAAACAACATTACCTTCCTTAAATGAGTAAGCCAAACTAGTAATTACATTTTCTGAAGTCTCTGTTCCATTGAACATTTTCAGTTCAATATTTTGTTCTGTGACTGTAAAATCGTGTCTAGACATGATGAGAAATCTCTGGTGCATTGAAAGGTCAATTTTCACTCGACTTAATGACTGCAAAGCTGCCAGAGTTGTGTTCGAGACCACCTAAAGCGAGACCGATTGAAGACCAAGACCGGAGCAAATCGAGTCCGAGTCAAAACCAAGACCGGAGGGGGGGCGAGACTGAGTCAAGACCGAGACCGGGAGGGGGACAAGGGGTCCGAGACCGAGTCAAGACTGAGACCAGAAAAACTCATGTCCAATTCAAGACCACGATTGTAATTTTGTCAAATCACCACCATAATAAGAGTTCAAAATGTCCAGTATTTCTGTGTTCATATTTCAGAACAACATATGGATTGTTTAGACATTAAGAATAGTGACAAAATGCATGCTGAGGGAAAATAGAGCCACTCTAATGTTCTGATTTAATCTCTTCAGTTTTTTGGGGAAAGGAAAGGGTTAACACTGAAGAGAAGAAAATATCCAATCAAGATTTTTATTTGCTAGTCTCTGGGGAGATACATCTAGCTAGCTAAGTCAGCCATTGGCTAGGCCATCAGAAGCTAGATAAAGGCATCTGCCATTCAACTTTATTAGGACAACATTTTGGAGTGACAGTGGAATTAACCAATCACATTTTGACTTAATGAGTGGGACCGTTTTTACCACAAAGTATGGAAACGTCTGCCTTCTTGAAGGCCAACAGGTCACTACGCAATAGTGAGCAGTAGTTTTCCCACGGTCTAGCTAGCTAGCTTTTGTTGATGGCTAGTTTGCAGCGGCAGCAGGTGTTATCAAAGAGGATGCTGTTGCTAATTTGTTAGCTTCTCCCTTTTCAAGAATAACTTTCAACAAGGAGTTAAGTTTCAAATTATCATCATCTGGTGAGTGGAACTGTGTTTTTTATTGCAGTGTGCTTGCTGTTGTTAGCCATCTCGTTGAAAATAACTTGTTACATTTAAAGTGGAAAATGACAGCATTTTAGCAACATTAAATCTTATTAAAATGTGTTCATATACACCCCAGGAAGAATATGACACTTTTTTAAAAAACATTCTGACAAGTGACCACTTAGATATCGTCATTTTCACGTTTTCATAAATTCTTAGAATGTTTGGGAATTACATATATTAAGGCATTTGTGAGAATTCTACTGCAATATAGAGTGGGAAAACGGCTGTGCGTTTGGACAATTAATAGACACTGCAGTAAATAAAACAGAATAAAAACATCTGTCTTGTCCAGGACCTCTACACAGACCAGGGCGCTATAGCCAATCAGAGCTACAGTAGACCTTTATACAAACAAGCCATTTGCCACACGGGCATGCCATCATTCACTTTGAACTGGACTGTGTGTTTACAGGCAGTTGCAACAGCGCGACTTCAGATAATTAGTATGCATTGAAAAGGTAGGCTCTCTCTCCCTCAGTTATGCACATCAACAACATTAAGAGCAACAACTAATGCAAGCCAGAGCAAGATGAACTCAAATCTAACAAAGGAACATTAGATAAACCCTCTCAAACTTTTTCAGCTAGTTGGCCGTCAAAATTGCACTGATAAACGTTGGAGAATTATAGCCTCCTCATCCTTCTACAGCTTGCCTGCAATGCATGCTTGTCCCAACCAAGCACTCAAGCTAACTGGCTAACGTTGTCTAGCTTGCTAGCTAGCTACTTCCAGACACAAATGAGAGAACAGAGCTGGTTAGGCTGTTATTATATGCTATCTAGAGCGTTCTTGACTAACTATTACTTTTTTTGCCTACGTTTACTGACACCGGTCATATTCAGTAGGTGTTGCGTGTTCGTAAATTCATTTTTTTTTTTTTGTCATTTAGCAGACGCTCTTATCCAGAGCGACTTACATGAGCAATTAGGGTTAAGTGCCTTGCTCAAGGGCACATCGACAGATCTTTCACTTAGTCGGCTCGGGGATTAGAACCAGCTACCTTTCGGTTACTGGCACAACGCTCTTAACCACTAAGCTACCTGCTGCCCCATTCATCAGTTGTTCTGCGCTCTGGCACACTCAGACGAGAGTGCTCTGAAATCGGAGTAGATAGCCAGAGTGAATTTGCGAACGCAAGAGATATGCTAACTGTATAACAGTCGTTCAAGTTCTTGCTAGCTAACCAAATGACACCTGCCTCTCTAGCTGTGTATAGTCGTGGTCAAAAGTTTTGAGAATGACACAAGTATTGGTCTTCACAAAGTTTGCTGCTTCAGTGTTTTTAGATATTTTTGTCAGATGTTACTATGGTATACTGAAGTATAATTACAAGCATTCCATAAGTGTCAAAGGCTTTTATTGACAATTACATTAAGTTTATGCAAAGAGTCAATATTTGCAGTGTTGACCCTTCTTTTTCAAGACCTCTGCAATCTGCCCTGGCATGCTGTCAATTAACTTATGGGCCACATCCTGACTGATGGCAGCCCATTCCTGCATAATAAATGCTTGGAATTTGTCAGAATTTGTGGGTTTTTGTTTGTCCACCCGCCTCTTGAGGATTGACCACAAGTTCTCAATGGGATTACGGTCTGGGGAGTTTCCTGGCATGTCGATGTTTTGTTCCCTGAGCCACTTAGTTATCACTTTTGCCTTATGGCAAGGTGCTCCATCATGCTGGAAAAGGCATTGTTCGTCACCAAACTGTTCTTGGATGGTTGGGAGAAGTTGCTCTCGGAGCATGTGTTGGTACCATTCTTTATTCATGGCTGTGTTCTTAGGCTAAATTGTGAGTGAGCCCACTCCCTTGGCTGAGAAGCAACCCCACACATGAATGGTCTCAGGATGCTTTACTGTTGGCATGACACAGGACTGATGGTAGCGCTCACCTTGTCTTCTCCAGACAAGCTTTTTTCCGGATGCCCCAAACAATCGGAAAGGGGATTCATCAGAGAAAAATACTTTACCCCAGTCCTCAGCAGTCCAATCCCTGTACATTTTGCAGAATATCAGTCTGTCCCTGATGTTTTTCCTGGAGATAAGTGGCTTCCTCGCTGCCCTTCTTGACACCAGGCCATCCTCCAAAAGTCTTTGCTTCACTGTGCATGCAAATGCACTCACACCTGCCTGCTGCCATTCCTGAGCAAGCTCTGCATTGGTGGTGCCCCGATCCCACAGCTGAATCAACTTTAGGAGACGGTCCTGGCGCTTGCTGGACTTTCTTGGGCGCCCTGAAGCCTTCTTCACAACAATTGAACCTCTCTCCTTGAAGTTCTTGATGATCCGATAAATGGTTGATTTAGGTGCAATCTTACTAGCAGCAATATCCTTGCCTGTGAAGCGCTTTTTGTGCAAAGCAATGATGACGGCACGTGTTTCCTTGCAGGTAACCATGGTTAACAGAGGAAGAACAATGATTTCAAGCACCACCCTCCTTTTAAAGCTTCCAGTCTGTTATTCTAACTCAATCAGCATGACAGAGTGATCTCCAGCCTCGTCAACACTCTCACCTGTGTTAACGAGAGAATCACTGACATGATGTCAGCTGGTCCTTTTGTGGCAGGGCTGAAATGCAGTGAAAATGTTTTTGGGGGATTAAGTTAATTTTCATGGCAAAGAGGGACTTTGCAATTAAATTGCAATTAATCTGATCACTCTTCATAACATTCTGGAGTATATGCAAATTGGCATCATAAAAACTGAGGCAGCAGACTTTGTGAAAATTAATATTTGTGTCATTCTCAAAACTTTTGACCACGACTGTATAGCCACCGAAAAACGATATGAGGGGAAAAAGTCAGTCACTCACCCACTCCTCCAATGGCATGACATGACATCCTCCTAGCAGCTAGCGAGCAAGCTATCTAGCTAACATTAGGCTCCGTGTTTTTAGCTTGCTACATAAATAGATATGCTAGCCTATTAGCCACGTTATGACTGACTTGTGATCATTGCCCTTGCTAGTTTGATTGTATTGACATTCCCAGCCTTAGTTACATTAGCCCCTTTTTGTCCAGAATATTGAGTAATTGAAACTGAAATAGTGCATCCCGAATGGAGGCAGCAAACAATGTACCAGGCCAGCTGTGGTTTACAACCTGATAGCAATATTTTTTGGACTCTCCAGAAATGTATTGCTGAATTATATTAATCATGCATTTAACTGCATCCATCTATTCTGCCAACAATGCCTTAGTGTACATCATGGAACTGTGAGTCAAATATAACCTATTTTTAAAACCTCCTTATAAAGTTGGTTGTGTAGCATAAACAGGGAATTTGATATTTTGTACTGATATTATATTGTTTTTTGTTTCATATCTGCAAAGTAGTTAAAACGCTGTCAGCTCCACTTTAAACTTTAGGTCACTGGTTACTTTGAGTGCTAAACATAAAATGTTTTTTGCAATGGGAAGTAATAGTTGTACATTTAGATTGGGAAATGCTTAATGGTTGTGTTTTTGTATTCTTATGATTGGGACCTACTGGCTTATTATGTCCGAGTTTATGGACTGGTTATCCTTTAACATCATGCTGTGTGTGACTGCTGTCTTTCCATCGGCCCTATGCAGGGGTGTAGTTGTGCCTGGAGAAGTGGGCATACTCTAAATTTGCCAAAAAGTTCCCAAACGGCCCACCCAGCGAAGGAAAAATCCTTAGTTTCTTATGAGTTTTCCTATAGATTTTTCAGATTTTCACTCTCAAAATCACATTTTTTTTAAATAGAAAAATGACAAAAATGTGATGGTCTAAGTCCACAACAATGCTTAAATCACATCGATCTGATTGGGTGGGCCTGTAAGGGCCTGGCTCCCCAGTGGGTGGGCCTCTGTCCATCCAGGCTCATCCATGTCTATGCCCCTGATGCAAACAGTGCATGATGACAAATGCACATCACCAATAGCCAACTAACCAACACTTCGGACTAAACTTTTTCAATACCTGGTTTACATACCCATTGTTGCCTTAGTATTTACTGGTAGATATCATAAATTGAAACGTCTTTCCTACCCTAACCGCTACCGATGTCATTCTTCTGTGAGCTGCTCCACGCCAAAACCAGTTGAGAGCTGCACACTCTTGCTGCCGCAGATGATATTCCGTTGAAACTAGACTGTGTTTGGCGCGAATGTGAATATATGTCACGTGCTTTGCGATTGTGTAGGCTACTTTGTGAATGATTTCTCTATTGTACTACGTAACTGATAAATCGTATACCTCCACAACACTACTTTGATACGCATCAGTAGGGATTAAGAAGTGAGTATAAACAATGCCCACTGAAAAAAAGTGGGTATACGGTTTATACCTGCGCGTACCCTCTACTACACCACTGGCCCTTTGTGTTTCAAAATCACGAACCTGTCACACACTGAAGGCCTATAGGTTCGCCACAGCGCAAACATGTATATAATAGATATAAAGGCTGTTAAGATATTAATGTTTCAAGAAAGGAGTGTATATACTTGGCCTGGCGAAGCTGTTTTATGCCCTGCCTGAATGGAAGCTGATAATTATGAGTTTTTTACTCCGCTGGTCTCGGCTGGTCTCGGGAAGAAATTACGAGTCCTCACTGTTCGACACCGAGACAGGACCGAGACACTCAATATGTGGTCTCGAGACCGGTCTCGAGTACTACAACACTGAAAGCTGCTTTAGCAGTATCTTCTGGACAGTCATAACCACATCTACTTTCTCCCTCTTATAACAATGTTCTCAGGAGAGCCCTGTGTTGTATAATACATTCATCTGAGAATATCAGATATTTGAACTTGAGTAGAGATAAAACAGCTCTCTTCCTTTTATGTGACATCCCAGGTGAATACAGAGAGCAGTTTGTCCTATTTTCTACCCCAATGACAAAGCTGCTGACTACACACTTTCAGATAAGTGTGTGTGTGTGTGTGTGTGTGTGTGTGTGTGTGTGTGTGTTTAGATAAAAGGGACTGTGAGGCATCAAAGTAGGGCACACACAGCATCAAAGCGGAAGTGGCTTCCTCTCCTCATGTCATAACATTAAACTGGACCTTTCACCTGTCTACAATGTCTAACCTGCCGCACACATCAGTTCCCATCACTGTTGTGCTTTAGTGGGTACCTGCAGTGAGTTCCCGGGGAAGATGGTGATGGCAGGATAGTCGGTGATCTGCAGGTCGTGCACGTGGCCATTGAGCACAGCCGCAGACAGGTGGACCCGGCGGGCGCGGATGGTTGCAGGGGCGGGCGCCTCGCTGTAGTCATCGTGGAGGAAGCGCTGCACGATGGCAGTCTTGCCCACGCCTTGCGCCCCCATCACAGCGATGCGGAAGGGAGGTGGCATGCTTCGCCCCCCTCGACCCCCTGCTGCCGCTCCATCCCCCTCCCTGTTCTCGCAAACCACCGGCCAGTGCATTCAGGGTTGTGCAGCGCATAGTCCCCACGGGCACAGGCAGGTGTGGTGGTGGGGGGCACGCTCGGCCACATTCATAGACCACCAACACCCCCTATCACACTGGGGGAGAGGGAGAGAAGGGGGGGAGGGGGGGGGGTTCTTTTTACCACTGCATGCCTTTCATTCATCTACAAAAGGGAAACAAAAGCACTATGCTGCTAAGCAACCAACTAAAACGAGAAATCGTATATACAAGGACACTCTGGGAAGATGAAATAATGAGACTAAGATTGCTTTTAGAAGACCTACATCCACTGACCCCATTAATGACAGATGCTGTGTGCTTATTAGGACATCACATCATTACCCCTGATAGTTTAAAACGTTTAATGAGTAATCTACAAAATTAACACATCTACAATAATCTCCAAGATGCATTACTCTAATATACCTCACCAAATTTGACCAAGTCTATATCTGAAGCTGCAGTTTCATCATCAACTTCATTTTTTAGAAGACAACAATCACCATCCCAAAAAGTTGCCATTCTAACAAATGGAACCAAATTAAATAGGCAATCACCAATAACAATAACAAAGCATGTCCCTGCCCCTGTTTCGGTAAAAAGCAGAGGGATGGGGCTGGAGAAATGTAACCACTCTCAAATTCATAGACAGAGATATGGATGCAAGGATTGACCATCTATGATATCAAAATTATAGTTTTAACCATGATTTGAGGCTATATAGTGTTTGTTTACATTTACTTTGTTTTTAAACATTGGAGTAAAACAATCTCATATTTCGGGTTCTGATGCGGGTCTACAGTTAAACTAAGCTCATGAGGCATTTATAAGTTATATTCTTCACGAATCAATGGGTACATATACATTATTTATAAGTCCAAAAATTGATGTAGCAACTGCTGATTGCCCCTTTAAGTTTCCCTTACAGTAGATGCACAACAACATGGAACAAGCACATCACCTAGTGGGATAAATGGTAGTGGTCTGTACAGCAATGACCTCAAACGAGGTCAACTTTGTAAAGTGGAACATGTATCGATATATAGACTAATATTTAATGTAACACTATCATCCAAAAACTAAACGCAACAGACATGAGGGACTGCGCAAATAAATAATCATCCATTTATATAGAAACTCAATGCAAAAAATGGAATGAATATTGGGTTATAAAATGACAGTAGTAGTCTATTTCATCAGGCAAAATAGCACAATCACATATTAAAAAACAAATGACACCATCTTTGGATAGGCTTTATGGTAAGCTGATAGGCTTTCATGAAATGCAAAAATGAACGTATACATGATACTTACATTCCAACTTTGTGAGAATATAAGCAAGTAGATCTGTAAAAATTAAGAATAAAATGAATCTAAATAGACCACCTTGTAGCTGTAACTCTAAACAACTCCATATGGGTAGAATATGATTAGAAATGATAGTACATGCTTACGGTGCGCACAGGTATGGTGCCGTGCCGATGCGGTACGATGTGTAGATTCCAACGTGCTGCTGCAGATACACCTGCGGTGATGCTGATGTGTGTAGAACCTCATTCGTTGGCTTCTTACTGACAGATAACTGTCTCAGGTGGATACAGTGAAGAGTCCTAAAGATTCAACCTACTCTCTCGCTAGTGGAGAGATGACACGCGGTCTAAACGCCCGTCATATATTGCAGGCAGCAAAAATCACAAGCCTACAGTACATCCACGTAATTCATGCAGGCTGCTTTCGTCAAAGACTAGCCTACTTTCGGGGTGAGACCTTAAAGTGTGTAATAGTCTATAGACGTAGGGTCATCACATCACGTCTGCTGTGCCAACAGTGTTTAACAACTGACAGCCAAAATATAGCATTTTAGGGAAAGGTACGGTCCGCCCCAGAATGAAAAGGGTTGCCAGAGACTTGTCAGAGAAAGGTATCTGAAATTTGAGTGATAGGGATATCTCTTGTTAAAATTCTCAATTCAAACACTGTTGGAGTTTTGAGGGTATTTGGGGACACTGTGCGCGCGGCAATATTTTACGCGTAGTTTACGCACACATGCTAGCGCGCTTTGCCTTTTAAAGACTATTAAAAATAACATTCTACACAATGCCTGGGGCTTTTACATCAGAAGAAATGATTGATCTTTCATCTGAACTGAATATGTTTTTGTGCGCGCAAGCGATCTAATCTAAAGTATGAACTCGAATGCTTGAGCAACATGTGTACACTGCACCCTATTGGCAGTAAGGAGGCTGTTTCTTAGCAACAGTATATTTTGCCCCTGTTGCTAAGTAACCTCGTGCCACATACCTGTCTAGCCACGTCACCTCTCACAATCATTTACAATGCATGCAGGTGCAATTTCATGTGATGTAGCCTGCCAGTTAATGTGAACTCACCTACCTCACACCTTGCAAACACATACCATTGTTGGATCTTGTTCTGTGATCCAGTTTGGCCTTGAAATGAGGGTACAAGGTCATGTGAATTACGAGTTTTTTGGCCTCAGACTTTTTCCAATGAGTTTACAACAATATAAACCTTGACACTCAATGGGGATGTGACTAAGTTCTATTGTATATTTTAAATAGAATTAGAGCAACTAATTACCAGAGCCATATTTTCTAGGCCTATATATAGCTCTGCTAATTGCTGAAGTTCAAACTAGATTTCTTCCCCATCCCCACAATACAGATGATGTAAAGAGTTGGCAGTCCAGTGAGAAACACGTTTTCCAACACTGACAATGCTGGTCTCCAGACTGTGTAACTTCCATTGTGCTTTTCTCTCAGACATTCAGCAGTTAAAAAAATTATACAAATAAATAAATACTGATTCAGACTGACATGGAAACATCAGTAGCATCCCAAGTGAAATAAGCTTTGATTCTAAGCGAGCCACTCTGTATTCTGAGTATCTATTGACTAACCGCACAGAGATTATGCACTGCTGTAGTTGGCCTTTGGCCAGGGCCTGAGCTAGAACTTGTCAGTTGGACGGGCATTTGATTGATATAATAAAGACCATAGACAGTTCATGAGTTTGGGGAAGCTTACAATTTATCCTACCATTTCTACCGATCTGTGTGCCAGTTATTATTTTTATATGCGCAATTTCATGGAACATTGTAATTTCAATAATAACGTTTTAGTTTCTCAAAATTATTGTTACGTGGTTAATCATACAAATCTGAAAGTTCAAATTCAACTGATGCAAGAGCACCAACCTTTGCTATATGGACACCGTGATCCATTGGCGGCTAAATAAATTATCACATGGAACTCAGAGATGGCCTACAGTGCATTCCCGAAAGTATTCAAACTCCTTCCCTTTTTCCATATTTTATTATGTTACAGCCTTATTCTAAAATGGATTAAATACAACATTTTCTTCATCAATCTACACACAATACCCCATAATGACAAAGCAAAAACAGGTTTTTAGAAATGTTTGCAAATGTATAAAAAATACAAAACAGAAATACCCTATTTACATAAGTATTGAGACCCTTTGCTATGTGACTCGAAATTGAGCTCAGGTGCATCGTGTTTCCATTGATCATCCTTGAGATGTTTCTACAACTTGATTGGAGTCCACCTGTGGTACATTCAATTGATTGGACATGATTGGGAAAGTATACACCTGTCTATATAAGGTCCCACAGGTGACAGTGTATGTCAGAGCAAAAACCAATCCATGAGGTCGAAGGAATTGTCCGTAGAGCTCCAAGACAGGATTGTGTCAAGGCACAGATCTGGGGAAGGGTACCAAAACATTTCTGCAGCATTGAAGGTCCCCAAGAACACAGTGGCCTCATCATTCTTAAATGGAAGAAGTTTGGGCCCACCAAGACTCTTTCTAGAGCTGGCCGCCCGGCCAACCTGAGCAATCGGGGGAGAAGGGATTTGGTCAGGGAGGTGACCAAGAACCCGATGGTCACTGACAGAGCTCCAGATTTCCTCTGTGGAGATGGGAGAACCTTCCAGAAGGACAACCATCTCTGCAGCACTCCACCAATCAGGCCTTTATGGTAGAGTGACCAGACGGAAGCCAGTCCTCAGTAAAAGGCACATGATAGCCCGTTTTGAGTTTGCCAAAAGGCACCTAAAGGACTCTCAGACCATGAGAAACTAGATTCTCTGGTCTGATGAAACCAAGATTGAACTCTTTGGTCTGAATGCCAAGCGTCACGTATGGAGGAAAGCTGGCACCATCCCTACGGTGAAGCATGGTGTTGGTAGCATCATGCTGTGGGGATGTTTTTCAGTGGCAGGGACTGGGAGACTAGTTTGGATCGAGGGAAAGATGAACAGAGCAAAGTATAGAGAGATCCTTGATGAAAACCTGCTCCAGAGTGCTCAGGACCTCAGATTGGGGCGAAGGTCCACCTTCCAAAAGGAGAACGACTCTAAGCACACAGCCAAGACAATGCAGGAGTAGTTTCGGGACAAGTCTCTGAATGTCCTGGAGTGGCCCAGCCAGAGCCCGGACTTGAACACGATCTAACATCTCTGGAGAGACCTGAAAATAGCCGTGCAGCGACACTCCCCATCCAACCTGACAGAGCTTGAGAGGATCTGCAGAGAAGAATGGGAGAAACTCCCCAAATACAGGTGTGCCAAGCTTGTAGCGTCATACCCAAGAAGACTAGAGGCTGTAATCACTGCCAAAGGTGCTTCAACAAAGTACTGAGTAAAGGGTCTTATGTAAATGTCATATTTATTTATTTATTTTTTACATTTGCAATAATGTCTAAAGACCTGTTTTTGCTTTGTCATTATGGGGTATTGTGTGTAGATTGATGATGGGGAAAAAAACAATTTAATCCATTTTAGAATAAGGCTGTAACGTAACAAAATGTGGAAAAAGTGAAGAGGTCTGAATACTTTCTGAATGCACTGTATGTAGTCATTGTATCTGATGCTGTCTGCCATACTTATTTTTTCCAGACAGCATCAGATACATGGTCTACAAGTACAGAGATAGAGGTGCACTGTTTCACTCT